AAAAGCCCTGGCCTGAAGTGCCAGCATCCCATGTGGGTGCCGGTTCTAGTCCCAGCTGCTCCTCTTCCTATCCAGCTCTCTGCTATGGCCTGGGATAGCAAGAGAAGATGGCCCAAGTCCTTGGACCCCTGCACCCACATGGGAGACCCGAAGGAAGCTCCTAGCTTCGGATCAGCTCTGGCCATTGCGGCCATCTGGGGAGTGAACCAGCAGGTGGAAGATCTCTCTCTGTGTCTCTATCTCTCTCTGTAACTCTTTCAAATAAATAAAAATAAATCTTTAAAAAAAAAGTAAAGTATGCAGTCATATAACCAACCATGCACTAGAACATGGACTCATATCAACAGAATTACTATTTCACATCAGTCAAACTGTCAGCATTTAAATAGAACAAAAGCAAAAATTGCTTCCAAAATATAAGTTCCTAATTAGGGATGAAAATGGAAACAAGGGCACATTAAGATAACATTAAGGTGTTTCACACCATCATAGTTCTTGAGAGCTTTCTGAAACATTAACTAATGCACTACTGAGTCCCCTACCCTTGGTCAAGGGCGTGAGTTCTCCAGGTGGAAGTAATTCTTGAATTAGGTTAGATGACCTGAAAGATCTCTTCTCTTCTATGGGATTCCACTTAATTATGTAAATTTGAGTAATTTGTAAATTATTTCTGGAAGTGTTTAAATCTCTGGTTACTGCAGCACAATTTTACATTTGAGTGATGTCACATAATTTCTAAATACTACTCAAGCAGCCTGAGGGAGGTAGTGTTATTTAGCAGATTCACAGAGCACTTACTATACGCATACTATTTCTCTATGTGCTTTATAAATGTTAACTCACTTAAGGTGCGGTATATTCAGTATATTCAGTAACTGAGGCCTTTTGAAGCTTAATTATATTATAAACTGGCATTTACCAGTGAATTAAAGTGACCAATTACATTCACTCATTCTTTGAAATTAAAACTACTCATTTCTAAAAACCAGGACTGTCCCACAAGAACACGAATCTGACCAGACTGAAACATTTCTATCACCTCCAACACAGAGTTAGGAAGGTGGTTCTGCTCCTACCACCTGCTGGCCTGTTTGTCTCACTGCTCCCTTGAACCTTCACTACCCGCAATTAACAAAGACACAACCTGACTCCCATGGGCCGGTGCACTTGCTGTCCCCTTTGTAGGATATACCCACCCTCTTCCCTTCATGTAGCAAATTCCTAACACTCTGCAAACACAGCACCTCCCTCAGAAAGCACACCCAACCACTCCTCTGGGTTAAGGACTGGGCCTATTACCCGCAGAAAAGCACAGAGAAGGGCAAAGTATAACTGCTTATTCACTCATTTATCTCGCACTCAACTGTGGGCTGCTGGAAGGCTACAGCTATTTCTTTTCTCTTTAATCCCTAGAACCTTAAAATTAGTACACAGTAGGAGCTCAAGTAAATAAATCCTTTTAAATAAACAAATGAACATATAAACTTAATGAAGTCACAAGAAGTCAGCTTGACTTTATCCCTGAAATGGAAAAGGAGTTACTAAAAGTATCTATGGGTGCATAAGATGCCCTAAGTTGTACCTATTTGATTACCAAAGAAATAACAAAAGCCATAGAAAAGCAACTGAGGTTCTCTGGTTCAATGACAGAGCTCAGGGAAACTGTCAATGTCAAAAGTGCAAGCTCCTGGCTCCTGGCTCCTGGCTCCAGACCGGCGCAGCTCCAGCCGTTGCGGCCATCTGAGCAGCGAACAGCAAATGGAAGACCTCTCTCTCTGTCTCGACCTCTCTCTGTAACTCTTCCAAATAAATAAAATAAATCTTTAAAAAAAAAAAGTGCAAGAAAATTCAGTTTCCTAACTGTATGAAAAGTTGGCCTAAGTTAACTAGGACTTTACAACTCTAACTGCCGAATTCAGTGCTAGCCATCAGTGACTTCCAGATGTAGGTTATTTTTAAGAGCAGGGCAAAGGACAGGGGCTCCCCGGGTGGTGCAGACACTGAGATGCACAAGCGCACACCTCAGCACTTGCAGGCACTGAGATAATTTCCTGGAATGACGACTCTGGTGACAGGGCTGTGCCATTACTTTGACTTCTGACTTGATTGAATGATTCCTTCACGAGAGAGAGCATTCAGCCCAGCAGATAAGGAGCCCATGTCCCACTTCAGAGTGCCTGTGTTCAATTCCTGGCAGAGAGCAGGTGATGGTTCAAGTAACTGCATTCCTGCCACCAACCAAGGAGACCCGGACTGAGCTCCCAGCTCCTGGCATTGGACCTGGCTCAGTTTCAGGCATTACAGGCCCTTTGTGGGGTGATCTAGCAGATGGGAGGTGTGTCTGTCTGTCTGTCTCTCCACTCCTCTCCCACCGCTTCTCATATAAATAATCTATTCATGCTGTCTATCTAAACCCTACTAATCCATTTCACCTCACCAAAAGCCACCTTAACTGTGAGGTTCCATAGGAGACAGAAGCTCCATGGGACCAAGGTACCTTTTGCCCCAAGTGGAGAGGCCTGTCAACCAAAAAACTGCAGAAGCGGAAGTCCCTAAGGTGGGGGGAAACGGTGGACTGGCTCATCTCCCGAAGGCAGTGGTCTTTCACCAGCACAGAGACGGGCAGAGGGCACCGGCGCACACCCCAGCTGGAGGCTTTCTTTTCTGTATCTCTCCTCCCTTCTCTCCTTCCCTTCCTTTCCCTTGCTTAAAACACTGCCTGTATCAGCAAAACCCAGACTTGGGAAACTACAGGAGAAAAAAGTCATGGCTTCAATGAGTAAACTGCAGGGATAAAAACATAAATAAGTGCTGGAAACTATAAATTAAAAGATTTAAAACTAAAACAACAGGAGTGGGCATTTGGAAGAGCAGTTAAGATGCTGCTTGAGATACCTGCATCCTATTTCAGATTCAAGTCCCAGATCCTCTGCTTCCAATAAAACTTCCTGCTAATGCACATATATACAAATAACACACACACACACACACACACATTACTTGTAAGGCAATTGGAAGTTTGAAAAGACTTGAAAATTCTTAAATTTCAAAAATATAACATGGTCACATTTTCAAAAGAACCCTTACCCCATTGAAATTTTTAATGAATAAAAGGATATGGGCTGGCGCCGCGGCTCACTAGGCTAATCCTCCACCTAGCGGCGCCGGCACACCGGGTTCTAGTCCCGGTCGGGGTGCCGGATTCTGTCCTGGTTGCCCCTCTTCCAGGCCAGCCCTCTGCTGTGGCCAGGGAGTGCAGTGGAGGATGGCCCAGGTGCTTGGGCCCTGCACCCCATGGGAGACCAGGAAAAGCACCTGGCTCCTGGCTCCTGCCATCGGATCAGCGCGGTGCGCCGGCCGCAGCGCGCCGGCCGCGGCGGCCATTGGAGGGTGAACCAACGGCAAAGGAAGACCTTTCTCTCTGTCTCTCTCTCTCACTGTCCACTCTGCCTGTCAAAAAATAAAAAAATAAATTAAAAAATTTTAAAAAAAAAAAGGATATGAGTTGCTTGAGAATAATCCAGGAAGGGGAAGAAAATAAGTAAGGGTATAGATAAGGCAAGCTTGGTCATGAGCTGCTAATTGCTGTTATATTTTTGTTTCTTACATTATTCTATTTTTTATGTGCTTCAAGTATTTTATGATCAAAGGTCGCAAAAGGGTATGAGAATATTCCCCCTACGCAGATGAAAAGTCAGACAGGGAAACTGTGTCCCTCTGACTGTTCAATTTTCACATGGAAACAAATCAAAATGGAAAAGGAAAAGAGGCATTTACCAAACATTAGTTCAAATAATAAAATCTTTCATTGAAGGCGTGGTATATTAAATGTTCTCCTTAGTAATCTAACTTTGGTGTATATTACAGTGTCCCTTAAATCATATTTTACACACACATTTATAAATTCATAAACTAGCACATCATCATTATAAACTTAATTTGGTGGAATATATGTACACTTGTGAAATTGCTCAGCTTGTCTTTGCTTCACTGAAGTTAACAACTACACGAACAAGTTCTGTCTTAATAGGTTACACCTGAGTAGGTGCACGGCCCTTCAGGTCGATGCGTATAAACACACACACACACACACACACACACAAAATGCTTATAGAACCCCCCCCCCAAAAGGCTTCCTGAAATGAGCCAGTAAATTCAAAATAACTGCCAGGAATATCTGTGCGTGAGTGAAACTGAACCACATCCAGGTGCAACGACAGAGTTTTCCAAACACAACTGATCAACGCTCCATAAACACAGCCCCAACGACACCAAGAGGAGAGCCGGGAGAGAGCAGCCCTGTTCTGGAGAGGCAGAGGTGGCCGGCACATCCCTGGCGTCCGCAATCTGGGCCCGCTGAGAACCCTGAAGTTGCGAAGGTTCGGAGAGTCTGGGTTTCCCTGCAGTGTCTCTAGCCTTATTTTTTTTTTTCCTCCAATTTTTTCTGCAGCACCAATCTTGGGCTAAACCACTTACAAAGTCTTCTCTTTGAGGGTTCAAGCAAGAATGATGATGCAAACTCTGCCCTGCTCCTCCTCCTCCTCCTCCTCCCCCCTCCCACGCACGGCTTTGGCTCCACAGCAGGCACCGGGTCCCTGCTCCTGCGCTCGTCCCCCTGCCCCGAAGCCCTCGGCCTGCGGTTCTCCGCGCGCCTCCCGGGTTCCCCTTTTCGCTTCCTCTCGCCCCGGGAGCGCCGGGCCCGCTCCCTTCACCCGAGGCACCGCGTCTCCAGGGCAACGGCGAGAACCCCAGCGCCCCCTCCTCGCCCGGGGACCCCAGCCCGGAGCCTTGGACCAGCATCCAGGCTCGGGGCCCAGAGCAGAGCAGCCCTTTCCCACCCTTCCCACGCCTCCTCTTCCCAAGAAAAACCCACATTTGACCGAAGGCTGCCGAAGCATCCGCGCACCCCCACACATTTATTTATTTTTTTATTTTTTGCTCCACTTCTCGTCACCATTCCCAATTTAAAATCATCATCACCATCACCATCATCTCCCCGCGCACTTGGGCAATGGGGATGCTCCCTTCGAAACGCGCCCGGGGGACTCCACGAAGATGCCCCGGAGCCTGGGGCGAGTGGCGAACTTACCTGCCCGGCCGCAGCGCGCCACGGGGCAGGTCCCCAGGGCGCAGAGCAGCAAGAAGGGCACCGCCGCCGCCCGCATGGTGCTGCCGCCAGCCCGCCTCGCCCGACGCGCGCCGCTGCTCACGCCCGGGGCGCCGAGGCCGCCCGCCCGGGTCGGCTGCCCCCGGCCGCGCTGCAGCCTGCGCCGCGCCGCTGCCTTAGTGCTGCATTGTAAGCCAGCGACTGCTGCATTGGGCGGGTGGCGGTAGCTAAGTGGCTTCTGGCGCCTCCCACCTCATCGCCTGGCTCCGGCCCAGACGGGCGACGAGCGCAAGGCGGGGAGCGAGCGAGCGAGCGGCGAGCGCACGGCGCTCTCGGCCCCCGAGCGCGCGCGCACACACGGCCAGGGGCGCCCGCCGGGAAATGTAGTCCTGGCTCCGCGTGCCGCTCGTGCGCGCCGCGGCCTCGAGAGCGCGAGGCCCTCGGCCGCCGGCGGACGGACGCGACGGAGGAGCGGGCAGAGGAGCGCGCGCGGCGGACGGGCGGGTGGGCGGGGAGGCCTATGTGGCCCGGGGCAGTGTCGGACGCGCCATGCGCGCGGCGGGAATTCATCCTCACCGAGCGCCAGACTGCACCGGTCCCCGGACTGGAATCCTCAGGGCGCCTCGCCCTCCTGAGTACGCGTGGACACAAGTGCACGGAGGGCACCTGCCCTCGGACACAGTGCCGCGTACCCAGCGTCCTGGTGATGCGCAGTGCGGGGAGCCAAGGAGGGCGCGCTGGGGAAAGTCTACACGAGGCCGAATCTCCCTTCTCTTCACCCCTGCCTACTTCAGACCTCTATTTGAAAACCGAACATGAGGAGATTTACTATTTTTTTTCCCCTGCTTATTCCAGTTTCTGCTGGTTCCAAATGTTAGAAATAGAGAGAGAGCTCTTCATCCACAGATTTACTCCCCAATTGCTCGCAGCCAGGAAGTCTGATGTGGGTGCCCCACGTGCGTGGCAGGGGCTCCAGTAATGGGCATTAGCAGGACGGTCTGGGCATTAGCAGGCTCACAAGCCAAGTAGCAGAGACCCTCGTTCGGCTGTGGAATGTGGTGTCCCCCGCAGAGGCTCAGCATGCTGCACCCTGCCACCTGCAGCCCCACCCCATGTTAGACACCTTGAGGATGAAGCAATAAGAACGTTGTCAACACAATTAACAGTTAGTTGCACAGTATTGTTTTTCAGAGTTCACATACTCCTATGGTCATATGATCTTAAGGTCAACAATTTGGTAAGAATTATTATTTCCTTTTTTTTTTTAAGGCAGAGCTCCCATGGGCTGAGTCACTCTCCAGTCACTCTCCTGCAGTGGTCAGGGTGGACGAGCAGGAAGCTGGGAGCAGGTGACTCAGTACAGGACCCACCTTGGCTGACGGGGACCCATCCACTAGAGATCACCTGCTGCCTCCCAGGGTGTGCCTTAGCAGGAAGCTAGAATGGGAATGGAGTCAGGACTCACACTCAGGCCCTGCACCATGGAATGCAGGCTTCTATACTGATGTGCCAAACATCAGCCCCTCTACCCACATTAGGCGCGAGAAAATTAAGTGCCTTCCTTGGCCACATGTGATTACTTAAATTTAAATTAATTCAAATTAAATAAAAGTGAAAGTTGAGAGCCTCAGACACAATACACTCTACTGTATTGGCATAGATATTGAACATTGCCATCGCTGAAGAGATTTCTACTGGATGACACCGACTTCCAGAATTAACCGGTGTGTGAACTGACGGGTCCCAGGGTCCCAGGCCGGGTCATGAAGCACATTGGGATCTGGATTTCCCACTTTCAAGTCTGAGCTTTTTCCACGTTTCCCTGTTTGAAACCTGTGTTTTTGGAACCCTCTCCTGGGTCCTGGGTCTACATGATGTTCTCTGGAACATCATCTTTAACTCCCTGCCCCATGTGACAAACCTGGAAAAGTGCTGGACACACCACTGTCTGAAGAGCGGAGCTATCCGCCTGAGCTCCCCCCACTCCTCCCAGGCTGTCTGCCCCCAACTCAGCAGCTGAGCCTGAGTCCAGCCTCAGCCCAGACCCCTTCCAGCTCACACCGCAATCTCGAAGGACCTTTAGATCTACCCAGCTCCATCTCCACAGCCCAGCGTTAGGTCAGACCGCCAAGCTTCTTCCCTCTGCTTTGTACTGTATACGCCACGAGCCTGTAAGGGAGGGGGCTCTCTCTCTGCTGTGCGTTCGCCTGGGAGTGAGCCCTTCCCAGGTTTTATTATTCTGAATAAACCCGATACGGCTGTGTCTTCATGCTCGGTCTCCTCTTTCCTGTTTTGTGGCCAGTGTTGCAGGGTAGTAGGTTAACCTGCTGTTTTCGATGCTGACATCCCACATCAGAGAGCCAGTTAGAGTCCCAGCTACTCTGCGTCAGATCCAGCCTCCTGCTAATGTCTGGGAAGCAGCAGATGATGGCTCAGTACCTGAGTTCCTCCTACCCTACCCACATGGGAGACCCAAAGTTCCTGGCTTCATTCTGGCTCAGCCCCAACTGTTGCAGACATTTGGGGAGGGAACCAACAGATGGAAGATCTCTCTCTGTGTGTGTGCATTTCTCTCTATAACTCTTTCGTAGTTTTCTTTTTCTCTATTTCCGACAGGCAGAGTGGATAGTGAGAGAGAGAGACAGAGGAGACAGAGAGAAAGGTCTTCCTTTGCCGTTGGTTCACCCTCCAATGGCCGCCGCTGCAGCCGGCGCACCGCGCTGATCCGATGGCAGGAGCCAGGATCCAGGTGCTTTTCCTGGTCTCCCATGGGGTGCAGTCTATAACTCTTTCAAGTAAATACATCTTTAAAAGGGCTTGTTTTCAGGGTTGCTATAATGAAAATATTACAGACTTTAAATAACAGACTAATACTATAGACCTTAAATAACAAACATGTGTTTCTCCCGGGTGGAGGTTGGGAAGTTCAAGATCAAGGCTCTGGCAGATCTGGTGTGCGGTGAAGGCCATTTACTGGCTTGTGGGCAGCAGCCTTCTCACCGAATCCTCCAAGGCCCAGACTTAGAGACACTGATCCCACCCTGGTGGTCCCACCCTTTCCACCTCATTATCTCCCAAAGGGCCCACCTCCAAATAGCATCACATTAGTGTTTCCACGTACGAATTTGAGGAGACACATACGTTCAGTCCTTACTTGTCAGATTTGTAAATCCGAATTGTGAAATACTTGACATATTTGAGAAAACAAGTAATGAATTACAGATTGCTTTTTCATTAGTCACGTTCACAGTGTTTAATGTTTGGGAAATTTACTCTGCCAAATTTGTTAGTTGAATATTAATCAATGAACAAGCAAAAACAATCGTATTTTACAAAAAACAATAAGATCAGAAGTTGAGCCTAAAAGCTTAAGGAAAGCAATATTTTTAGTTTTATGAGTTACTGATGAAACAACATAATGGTGAGTGTTGCTTTTGTGGATTAGTACCTGCCTCGGGCAGAAGCTCGCGGCTTGGGGAAGGGACTGACACAACCACGGACGTTACATGTGCTGTGTGCATGGAGCACGTGGTGGGGGAACTGTAGCAACTGCCCCATCACCTCCACGGTCCCCAGAAAAAGGTAAAGACAGCCTTTGAGGCACCAGAGCAAGCCACTCCGCCCAGCACCAAGGCCCCTGGCCGCCCCACTTCCTTCCATATTGCAGCACAAGGGCAATAGGAAGTCTTTCTGACATGGCTCGCAATGTGCCTTAAAGGACAGGAGATATCCTAACATGGGATCATGGCACGCATTTCCTGAAAATCATGAAACTATGGTGAATTTGAAGGCATTTATGGAATGTAAATGATACAAGGTCTTTAAAAGGTGCTCTAAAAATGCGATTTCATGAGAGACTAAGGCCCCCGGTGTGAGAAGGGCAAGCTCACAGCTAACTAACCCTGTGTCTCTGAAACTACTATGGAAAAGTGGTGTTGAATGGAGCAAGGGATGGAAGACTGGTGTCAGGAAAGATGAACAGTTTCCCCCTGCCAACTGAAAGTCAGCTGTCATTGCTAACTGAGGGATTCCCCTTTAACATGCATGAGTTAACCTTTTTATTTTTACAGATGAAAGCTTGATCCTTCTGAGATGAGTCTGCGACTTCAGAATCCTGTAATTTCTTCAAATATATTGTCAGCTAAATGAATTTTTAAATATTTCAATGGCAAGATGTTGGTAATTGTAAAGTCTAGGTGGGCCAGCGCCGCAGCTCACTAGGCGAATGCGGCGCCGGCACCCCAGGTTCTAGTCCTGGTTGCCCCTCTTCCTGTCCAGCTCTCTGCTGTGGCCCGGGAAGGCAGTGGAGGATGGCCCAAGTGCTTGGGCCCTGTACCCGCGTGGGAGACGAGGAGGAAGCATCTGGCTCCTGGCTTCAGATAGGTGCAGCGCGCCGGCCATGGCAACCATTTGGGGGGTGAACCAACAGAAAGAAGACCTTTCTCTAACTCTACCTGTCCAAAAAAAAAGTCTAGGTGAAGGCTACATGAGCATTTATGTTACTCTATTTTTATGTATTTAATATATTTTACTGAAAAGTTTGAAACATGTTTATGCACCTTGCTAACTCGAATAAGTTTGTAAAGAGAAATTATTTGAAAATTAAGTTTTTATTGTTTAAAAAATTTTTTTAACTTTAAAAATTTTATTTGAAATATGAATATTCTGGCCAGAAAAAAAGTACATCTAAGTTTGTATAAAAATTAAATATATATAGCTTTTATGGCTTCTAAAACAAAAAATGTTAGTAACAATTTTAAAATATAATCTTGTACATAAAAGAGAAATTTTAGCTTCTATGTTGCCAAGATTTAGCAGGAACTTTTGAATATACTAAAATGTAGTAATGGTTAGATACTGAAATTTTTTTAATGGAAATATACATTTTTTGTAGGATGTGAATGAAGGGGATCAGAAAATAGTCTCTCAAATCTGTTTAAGTAGTAGCCATCTGGCAACATCTTACCTATTTCATCCATATCTATATCCATGTCTATACAATTGGATCAATAACAGAATGATATCTAGAAAACTCTCCAAAATACTTGGAGATTAAGCAACATACTTATAATTAACACATGGGACAAAAAGAAATCTTAAGAGTAATTTTTAAGTATTTTGAAATAAATGAAAGTACAACTTACCAGAATTCTGGAAATGCAGCAAAAGTGGTGCTTAGAGGGAAATGTATATAGCATTGAGTATGTATATTAGAAAACAAGATAAAAGCCACTGTAATCCAAAAGCTGTACTTTGGAAATTTATATTTATTAAATAGAAGTTAAAAAAAAAACAAGAAATATTTAAAATCAATAACCTAAGCATCTGCTTTAGGAAATTAGAAAAAGAATGGCAAACTAAATCCTAAGAAAGAAAAATACAACAAAACCAGAGCAGAAATTAATGAAATTGAAATCAGGAAATTAACAGCGAAAAGGCAACAAAACCAAAACCTAATTATTTGAAAAGATCAGTAAAATTCATAAACCTCTAGCCAGGTAATAAGGGGGGGGGGAGGGGAAGAGAGGAAGGAAGAAAACGATTAACACCAGAAATGAAAGAGATCCTAACGCTACTGATCCCATGGACATTAAAGATGACAGGGGCTGACATGTGAACTAATGTTTAAGATGCTGGCATCCTATTATCACAGTGTTTGGGTTCCAGTTACAGTTCTGCTCCAGATTCCAGCTTCCTGCTAATGTGCACCCTGGGAGGCAGCAGGTGATGGCTCAAGTAATTGGGTCCTTGCCACCCATGTGGAAAACCTGGATTGTACTTCCAGCTCCCAAATTTTGGCCTAGCCCCGCCCCATCCATTGCAGATGTTTATTGCAGGAAAGGGAGGGGAACTTGCATAGGGGACATCTCTCTGTCTCACTGCTCCCCCACCTCTCACATAAGTGATCAAATAAAAGCTTTTTAAAAAGATAATAGAATATTATAGATACTATTATGCCCTAAAATTTGTTAACCTAGAAGAGCTAATTTCTTTGAAAAGCACAATATACCAAAGCTCAAACAAAGAGAAACAGATAATCTAAATAGGCTTGTGTCTATTAAAAAAATGAATCTGTAATTAAGTCTTTCAAAACAGAAAGCACCAGGCCCAGATAGGTTTACTTGTGAATTCTATTAAACTTTTAAGGAAAATATTATAACAATCCTCTGCAGTCTCTACCAGAAAATAGAAGCATTTAGAAATATTACCTAGCTCATTCTTGAAGCCAACATCACCCTAACACCAAAATTACAGACATAAGAAATGGGGTGGAAGAGGAAGGGTATTTGGCATAACAATTGATAAGTGGTGGTTACTCTCCTTTGTGTGCCATGGACTATGGTAGGTCAAGGCCATTCCAGAACGAGGTTCCTAACAGCAGTGAGGTTAAGACTCGAAACTATAAAGATTAGGTGGTAGAGCAGGTGCTGTGACAGAGGTCGCTACTTGGGATTCCGCTCTCATACCAGAAGGTTGGTTTGAGTCCCAGATATGTATCACTTGCCTTCCAGATAACCAACCAGGTGGTGCCACTGTTTTTAAAGATTTATTCATTTGAAAGACAGCGTTACAGGAGAGAGAAAGACTGAGAGATCTAGATCTTCTATCTACTGGTTCACTCCCCAAACAGCTGCAACAGCCGGTGCTGGGCCAGGCTGAAGCCAGGAACCAAGAACTTAATTTAGATCTCCCATGTGGGTGCAGGAGCCCAAGTACTTGGGCCATCCTCCACTGCTTTTACAAGTGGCAGCTTAAACCCCTAACCACAATGCTGGCACCCAGGTGGTACAATTTTACTATCAAAAGCCATGTGGACATAATTATTATAATAGGTGGTCACAGTGAAGAGGCATCCAGAGGAGACTTGATCCTCAGAGAGTTAAGAGTTTGTTAGTAGATCTTGGGCCGGCGCCGCGGCTCACTAGGCTAATCCTCCGCCTAGCGGCGCCGGCACACCGGGTTCTAGTCCCGGTCGGGGCGCCGGATTCTGTCCCGGTTGCCCCTCTTCCAGGCCAGCCCTCTGCTGTGGCCCGGGAGTGCAGTGGAGGATGGCCCAGGTGCTTGGGCCCTGCACCCCATGGGAGACCAGGAAAAGCACCTGGCTCCTGGCTCCTGCCATCGGATCAGCGCGGTGCGCCGGCCGCAGCGCGCTGGCCGCGGCGGCCATTGGAGGGTGAACCAACGGCAAAGGAAGACCTTTCTCTCTGTCTCTCTCTCTCACTGTCCACTCTGCCTGTCAAAAAAAAAAAAAAAAAAAAGTTTGTTAGTAGATCTTGGCACCTGCAGGAGCAAAATACATCGGCAGCCAATAAAAGAATCACTTAGTATGTATCCTGAAAACAAATCAACTTCAGAAGGCTGGGACAACTGATCTATTGCTGTTTCTAGACTTGTCAATTTTTCAACACAGAAATTGACTGGAGAAAATACTATGTCCCCAGCAGAAGGATCTTGTCACATATTTGAAGTACACATGTAAATTATCCCCTAATCCTTCTCCTAAGATACCTACCTCCATTTTTTTTTTTGGCTGGGGAAATTTTTGTTGGACAGAGGATCTGAATTGATATTGATACCTTGGACCCAAAGCACCTATCATAGTGGGGGGTAAATGGGATCCATGTAATAAATGGAGTCCTGGCCAAGGTGAAGATGTCATTTGCTTAGGCCCTGAATGTATTATTAGAAGAGAAAAACCTGTTATTTAACATCACCCTCTACATTGTGTCCACTGTTGTAGTGGAAAAGACTAAGTAGGAATTTCTGAAACTGCCTCTACCCCTCAGCAAAAATAAATCAAAAACAATATCTTAACCAGGGGTGATGGTGGTGATGGTGAAGGAAATCATCACCACCATTAAGCATCTAAGTCACATAGCTGGTTCTCATCATATTCGTATGAATCATCATAAAGGAATTACACCATTCCAAACTGCACCAGGTGGACCTAAAATTGAAGTCGCAGTGCTACACATGGTATCATTTCTATTGCAAATAAAGACAGCATTAGTGGCATCGTATGCATCCACTGATTAAGCAGACATCATTTTTCATCTGTATCAGAAAAATGAAGTTTGCATTCCCAGGGAAACATTACAGTGTACATTTATTTTTTTTCTTCTAAAGAGTACTTGAAAGGCAGAGCTACAGAGAGGTCTTCCATCCGCTGGTTCACTCTCCAGGTGGTCACAACGGACAGAGCTGTGCTGATCCAAAGGCAGCAGCCAGGAGCTTCCTCTGGGTCTCCCATGCAGGTGGAGAGGCCCAAGCACTCGGGCCATCTTCTACTGCTCTCCCAAGGCCATAGCAGAGAACTGGATTGGAAGTAAGGCAGCCAGAACTTGAACCGGCACCCATATGGGATGCCGGAACTACAGGCAGTGGCTCTGGTCCCCATTTATAGTTTTAAACTTTGTTTTGATTTGTTATAATTAGAGAGATCTGGGCTAACTGAATACCATGGATAATATCACATTAATCCAATGTATTGCTGATAGAGTATTTGTTGGACCAGACAAGCAAGAAGTTGCTAGCATGTTGGACACTTTGGTAAGACCCACGTCCTCCAGAGGGTGAGATGCTCGGGGACTGCTATCCCTGCAAGTTTTAAAGCTCCAGTGATTAGAGGCATGCCAGGATATTCTATTCCAAAGCAAAGACAAATTATTGCCTATTGGCCTCACAAACAGGAAGAAAACACAATACCACATAGCTCTCCTCAATTATGGACGCAACTAGTTAAAACTGGGAAACACTGGAACCCAGTGGCAGGAAAGGCTTCCAGTTGGGACTGAAGCCCCGAAGAAGAAAAGCGCTTTACAGAAAAAGGACCAGGAAGATGTAAAGGTTCTAGAGGGTTTGTGATAGGAAAAAGTGCTGTGAAGAGTTCCAGCAACTCCAGTAGGGAAATCTCAGCCCAGGCCCTGCAGGGTACAGAGTAAGGCCAAGCCATCTTCAGTGAAATCACACACTTTCTGAAAAGTCTGTTGTATGAGGTGATGATGTATAAAACATGGAACACCTGACTGTGGACAAAACTCACCATGTCACCATAACTGCCAGTCCTGAGCTGCGGTTTTATAAGACTTAATACTGGACAGGGGGAAGCAACAATCCACTGTACGATGGGATCAGTTTTCAGGGCTGAGCAAGAATGAGACCCAAGAGGCTCATGGAAGTTTCAATAGGCATCCCAGGACCACAGGTCATCCCTCACCATAACACTAATGCCTCTCCTTCAGGTCACATCTGCTGCTGCCAGACGTCTCTCAAGACCAGAAGAAAAAGGAGGAAAAACTCAAACTTAGTTGGATTGTTTCTGCGGATTCTCTACTCAGGTGAGACACTGAAAGCCAGCCACAGGGAAAACCCTCACAACGGACAGAGCTGCAGCTGGTACACCTGCTCACTGCCCTGTGAAGAAGTGCCCTGAGTGGATTTCTGCGGCAGCAACACACACCGGACCGGCTGTTAAGGGACCTAATAAGAGAAAGCTTAGAAGACTGAGTGTAAGGGATGGAGTCAAGCGGGTATGAAGTGTGGGCATCTCCTTATTGCATGATAAGGCCACTCTGACGCTGCACAATGAACACATGAGCAAAAGTGGCTGCAGTGAGCAGGGGTGAAGGCTATTTATGGATTTGACAGCGTTGGTTATTACTCAGTAAAGTTAATACAAGAAACAGACAAATATGAATTCCTGATATGGCACAATGCCTCAAGATCAACAAGGCGTTTGACAAGCTGATTATATTGGGCACAGTAATAGTCTAGATATGTGTGTTTTTCTAGGTCACAGCTTCACTTTACAGAGGTCATAATGGGCTTCACTCATTGACACAGCATTATATATAATTCTCATACAATACTGTACAATAAGAATTATCCAGAGAATTGGGCAACATACAGCAATAATATACAAACAGGAAAAGATGAAGTCAAGTTATCTCTGTTTGCAGGTGGTAATTCTACATGTATAAAATCTAAAGACCCCACCAAGAAACTATTAGAACCAATAACAGAATTAAGTTGCAGGAATAAAATCAATACACAAAAATCAGCAGTACTTTCATAACGGTGAGAAACTCACTGAGAAAGAAATTACAGGGGCAATCCCGTCCTCAACAGCTACACACACACATAAACACACCTAGAATAAACTTAGCTAAGGATATAAAAGACATCTACAATGAAAATTACAAAACACTTAAGGGCTGATTCTGAGGCCAGAGTGCTGTTAGGACATTTGCCATTCTATGGGTCGGCTGTGTATCTCGCTTCCCATGTTGGATCGTTCTCTCCCTTTTTTATTCTATTACCTAGTATTTGTAGACACTAGTCTTGTTTATGTGCTCCCTTTGGCTCTTAGTCCTATCATTATGATCAATTGTGAACAGAAATTGATCACTGGGACTTGTGAGAAAATACATGCCACCTTGATGGGACTGAATTGGAATCCCTTGGTATGTTTCTAACTCTACCATTTGGGGCAAGTCAGCTTGAGCATGTCCCGAATTGCACATCTCTTCCCTCTCTTATTCCCACTCTTATATTTAACAGCGATCACTTTTCAGTTAAGTCCTAAACAGTACTCTGGCCTCAGAATCAGCCCTTAAGGTACGCGGATCTGCTGAAAAGCCCATGAGAGTATTTCAGGCATGGAAAACCAAGATACTCTGGCAAAACAACAACAACCCTAAATGGAAGATCTCCGCGAATGAGACCCCAGTGGAAAGAACAGGTCTTCAAAAAAGGAGGTACCTTTCTCTGAAGGGAGGAGAGAACTTCCACATTGACCATGGCCTTGTCTAAATATGATCAGAGTCGGTGAACTCAAAAGGCTTCCATAGCCTTGGCAACTCATGACAAAAGCCTAGGGTGATTACTGATGCCATAAACAAGAGTGTCAACTTGTTAAGTCAACAACAGAAGTCACTGTGCACTTACTCCTCATGTAGGATCTCTGTCCTTAATGTGCTGTACATTGTGACTTAATGCTATAACTAGTACTCAAACAGTATTTTTCACTTTATGTTTCTATGTGGGTGCAAACTGTTGAAATCTTTACTTAATATATGCTAAACTGACCTTCTGTATATAAAGAGAATTGAAATTGAATCTTGATGTGAATGGAAGGGGAGAGGGAGAGGGAAACGGGAGGGTTGCAGGTGAGAGGGAAGTTATGGGGGGGGGGGGAAGCCATTGTAATCCATAAGATGTACTTTGGAAATTTATATTCATGAAATAAAAGTTAAAAAAAAAAGAATTAATCTCTCTGTTTAAAGAAACAATTTCCTCCTAGTATCTAAGGTTTAGAAAACCTCTTCAACATGAAATAAAGTTCTTCATGGTTTGACTAGAAAAAAAAATTACAAAACACTAATGAAGACAACAAAAGAAGCAAAGAACTTTCATGTTCATGGATTGGATAAATGAATATTGTTAAAACAACCATAATACCCACCCAATGTGATTTACAGTGCAGAGTCAACACATTCATCACAATACTTAGACATTCTTCACAAAACCAGAAAAAAAAATCCTAAAGTTCACATGGTAGCATAAAATAATAATAATAATGAATAGCTTGAATAGCAAAAGCAATCTGGAATGAAAAAGAACAAAGCTGAAGACATCACAATACACCACAGAGCTATTGTAACCAAGGGCATAGTATAAAAACTGACACAGACCAATGGGACCAAATTCACACTAAATGCCAAAAACATACAATGGAAAAAGGACAGTCTCTTCAATAAATGGTGCTAAGAAATCCTACATAAAAGACTGAAACTTAACCCTACTTCTCACGCTATACAAAAATCAACTCAAAATGCATCAGTCCTAAATAAGACTGGGAATTAAGAAACTACTAGAAGAAAACATAGGAGAAATACCTCAAGATATTAAATCTTTTAAAATATAAATATTTTAAAAAGGAAAGTATTTCAAAAGGAGAAGAGAAAAACTTTTCCATCTCATAGGAGGGTACTTCAAAAATGGAATTAAAAATTAAGCTATTTTGGTGCAAAAATATTTTCAGATCTATGCAGTTTTCCATAATATGCATTTTCCATGAACTTTTTGAAGATTCCTCAAATAGGAAGGAGCCCATTATTCTTACATTTCACTTTATCAGTGAAGCAGCACTGGATTCTGACTGTGAAAGTGTAAGATAAAGCTTTCTAACATTAGAATTATAAACATCTGAATACATATTGTTTTATAAGTTTTTAATAGACATACTATATAGGAAAACAACTGGCTTAAAAATATAGAAGAAACTATTTTGACTTCTAATATATACCTTTCACTACTTTTGTCAGAAAAATCCTGAAATCTCCAGCGCTATTGTCTGGCTAACCCCAAAAAACAGAGCCACAGACTCTGAATGCTATACTACCTGTTGCCCTTAAATAAAAGTTTATTAGATACCCTGTTATTTTCCCTTCCATCTCCAGTGTTAACATCATAAAATTCTATGCTTGCTCGGGACCTGTTACTCGTCTGCACCCATTTGACACAGCCTATCATATTCAAGAGAACCCAAAGTTTCACATCTACCCTGCAAAGGAATCTTTGTAGACTCCTACTTTTGAAGGTACCTTGCTATGTTAAAGACTTGTGTCCTTTTGTGAGTGGATATAGAAACCAAGGTATAATTATAAGTGCTATTAGAGAATTAAGTGCCACTAGAAAAGAATTTTTTAATTAATTTAAGTTTTTAAGAATCATCTTCTCTGGGTAGACACAATGCCTAAGATACATAGGCTGGGCCTTGGTAAAAAAAACTTACAAAAGCACTGACCTCTAGGTGAATGTACTCATTGCCAGGACAATTATATGCTGCAACTATGCTGGATTTCTATCAGCTTTGATCCTATAGGCTGAGTACCCACCCCATAATGCAACCCAATGCAAATGCCATGTGATAGTCCTGCTTCAGTTTATAGCACCATTCAAACAAACTGCAACCTAAACATTTCGTAAAAGCTGATTATTCATTATGAAAATGTTACAGTGTTCAGTCCAATATCCAAAGTATTTACCAACTACTAGAGGGTTCAGCTTGAGTCTCCCACCCCCACCTTCATTAAATACCAGGGAAGCAAAATGATACAAATAATTGTGGTGCAAACATAACTGCAAATTGAGGAGACTCACTGTAGAGTCAAAGATTAATATAGCAAGTTTACCTTTTAATTATTCTGGATTTGGGGGACATACAGATATTAACTTAAGGAAAAAACCCTTCAAATTATTTTCTAAGTTTCTAGATTTTTAGAACACTCTCTATAAAACTTGACATCAATTCAGAGATACACATGTTCATTTGTGACAGAAAATGCTACAATAGTGATCTATAACTAAAACAAGCTTTGCTTATATGCACTGTAGACTCTTTCATTGATCCTACCTAAGGAACTGGTAAGAATAATCAAGTTGTTGAAAAGCCAGTATTCTCACTGGTAACCTGCAATGGTTAACATAATACAAGTGTACTGAAAGAAATGGAAATGCTCTTTCCATGTATAAGAAAGTATGCAACTAATTCTATATTGGGAGCCATATACGATTTCAAAAATTTACAACTGTTAACTAAAGTTAATTTTTAGTGACAATGTATTCATGTGATATTCAATGGCACCAATTTTCTACCATGAAAAAATGCCACTGTTATTGCCTTCTATCTTCTGATAAAAAGATAAATTGCTGTTATATGTGTATTTATTCCAAAATATTGTACAGGCAAGTGGTAGAGCAAAGCAATTCTGATACAGATTTCAAAACTCTATCTGCGATTCAATACCATCCTTTTTCTCTCAACACTAAGTTAGAAGAAGCATAATGAGTCACTACTCTCAAAGTTATTTCCAAAGGTAAATAATTAAGAATAGCACAAGAGCTATAGTCCACATTGCAGCTGGTTAAGTTTTTCCTTCATGGCTTCTATTTACCCTACAGATAATCTGTCAGTTACAAAATACTAACCTGACCCAACTGAGTCACAATGACGTCCAAAATTCTAACAGAAATTAACACATCTTTTCCTTTTCCATGAAATGTTTTTAATTTGCAGATTTTTAATAATGCCATGTTATCATAAGAATCTATTGTAATGGACAATAAGTGTAACTTAAAATATCCAAATTTATGTTGATACATTTTTAATATTCTCAAACTCAAATTTTAGTGGCATACAGCAAACTATATTTTTCATTATAATTCTCACAAAATAATTATGAACACAGTAAAATATGACAAAGTGAAAAGTTTATAATTTTCCTAATATATTAAATTCTGTAGAAAATTGGAAACATCACCTTTATTAATATTTACATTTGGTTCTGTAAACAAAGGTAGCCAAAAACTCCTAAGAATTTTTATATATATTTCTAAAATAGATTTCAAGAATGTGATCTATGTGACTTTCGAAAAATACACATCCTTTAAAGTCTAAAAGCCAGTAAATGTAGAATTTGAGGGGGAAGAAAAAAACATCGACAACAGATTATTAGAATTTTCCTCTTCCCAAATATCTAAAACATCACATACACCACTGTTTTCAGTATAACTTGTGAAACCCATAAATTCTGACTTCTCCTCACTAGTCTGAAATAAGTCCAGTAGAGACTGTACTGGTGAACTACAGATTCTGTTTTCTTCTTGTGTAATAAGAAATTCAGTTCTCTTCTTATCCAATTCAGCATTTGGCTCCAGATTTTCTTTTTTATTTCGTCCTAATAACATTTTCACTTTTCGACGTATTTTACAAGAACGTAAACTATCCACATTTTTGATGTCACATTCACTGGGTTCTTCACCAGGATGAGGGGATTGAGTCTTTGCCTGAACTGTTAGGTGCTCTTGTGAACTGTTGATTGTTCTCAGATCAGAACTGTGACCAAGTAATGAATGAAGTTCCTTTTCCTTCAGATTCTTTGTTGGAAAAATCACAGTATCTGAGTTCTGTTTTGGTTGAGCAGCACTATTTGCACTGAAAACAGAAACTTGTATAGAAGTCTGTAGCCTACAAGGACAGTGATCTACCCCTAGCTCTTCTAAGTCATTTTTACTTAATTTAGTATCAGAAATGTCAAGAATGAATTCCTGTTTATTTTTATGTGGAGGTAGCTGTGTAAAATTTTGTTTTGTATCATTTTCAGCTGTATTTAACATAGGATTCATTTTTTCATTGAGTTCTCTCAGTTCATTTGAAGCGCTGTGGATGGGTTCTGAAATCAACACAAGCTTTTGTTCAGGTTCCTGAGTTTCTTCACACAGGAAATTCTGCTCCATCACCTGTATCTTACTCTCTCTCAAGTCTTTCTGAGAAATATGCTGCAATTGTAGCTTTTGCTTTGGTTGAGTCTTTTTCAGGATATTAGCAGAAACAGGAGAAAAGGATCCAATACTGTATTTTATTCTTTGTAGAAAAAAAATTAAAATATTTGCTATCAAAACAAAATCTTGTTAGAAACAGAATTAGCAAAAATATCTTAAAACTATTTAAGAAACCTACCTAACTTAGAAAATATCACAAAAGCACAGAACTCAACATTTTGTCTAATTTATTTTTAAGATGTTTTTAAAGTAATCAAGACTTTACAGATACAGCTGAAAATTCTTCTCACTCTTTTCCACATTCTTCACTCTCCACCCCAAAGTTATCAAATATCCTGAACTGGGTGCTTAAAACTAGTTTAATCATGTACAGTCAAGAAAAATGATAGTAAATGAATTTGGGCCTGCTCTTAATTTTGCTCTCATGATTCTGAAAAATTTCTTTACTTCTGTACTTTTGATTTGTATTAATGAATATTTTACTCTTCTTATTTAGCATTGTGGAAAATTGAGTATTTATTGAGAAATCAAAGGTAAAAATACTTATTATTTAAGAATAAAATGAGAACTTAAAATGTTTATACTTCTAAAGATGGCACATATTTAACCTGAAACCCTTTTCTTTATAGTGTCTTGATATCCTTGTGATGGTCGTTTTATGAAACAATCTATACAAATACAGAAGTTAACAGCTCACCAATTATGTTTTATGTTATATATAACACAAATAATAATGATAAATGTAATACAATTTTGTCTGCCCCTTCAATCAGAATGGTTCCTGATTTGGGTCCTAGCTGCTCCACTTCTGATCCAGCTCCCTGCTAATGGCCTGAGAAAGCACCAGAAGATGTCTTAGGTTCTTCAGTTCCTGCTACCCATGTGGGAGACCCAATGAAGCTCCTGACTCTGGCCTGGCCCAGCCCTAGCCATTGCAGTCATCTGAGGAGTGAACCAGTGGATGAAGGATCCTTCTCTCTGTCTCTCCCTCTCTAACTCTGCCAGCTTTCAAATAAATCTTTAACGGGGTGTGGGGAGGCTGCAGGAAGTCAAAATTAATATAAGTATCTTTATAAATCAAAATAAATACCATTAGTCTAAAATAGATCTAAAGACAGAATAACTTATTGAATCATCACTAACCCTAGGTACAGGGGTATCCATTTAGAGAGCATCACCCTTTAATCTCAATAATAATCTAATTAGGACCATTTTCCTTAATCAGTATGTAGTCATTGTACATTGACTAAACTGTATTTTCAGTTAAAAGTCCTGTTGGGAATCACTGTGCACTTACTCTCCATGTAGGACCTCTGTCCTTAATGAGTTGTACTATGAGAATTAACTACAAAACTTGTTTTCAAACAGTACTTCATACTTTGTGTGTTTGTGTGGGTGCAAACTGGAAATCTTAGAATAGAGTTGGTCTTCTGTATATAAAGTTAATTAAAAAATGAATACTAATTAAGAATGGGATGGGAGAGGGAGCAGGAGGTGGGATTGGAGTGGGGGTGGGAGGGTGGGTATAGGGGGAAGAACCACTATATTCCTAAAGCTGTACCTATGAAATTTGTATTCATTAAATAAAAGCTTTCTTAAAAAATTTAAAAAATAATTAAAAAAAAATCCTGTTGGTACCTTTAGTAATTACCAGCAAAGAGAGTGTATTATTTAGTGAAAGTAAAAAATAAGGCTTCATAGAGGAAGGTTAAAGAAGGTTCCTTAAAATCCCTTAAAATTAATTAAAAGTTTCAAGCCTCTTATAAATAGAAGGTAAACTTTATTGTTCTAGACTAAGAGTAAGCAAACTATTCAAACTGTGGGAAAATCTAGCCTTCAGTCTATTTTCTAAATAAAGTTTTACTGCAACACAGCTACACCCATTGTGGCATAAAAGCTGAATATTTAACAAAGATCTTATGGTTCACATAACATTATATTTTATTTTTAAAGATTTATTTATTGATTTGAAAGCCAGAGTTACAGAGACAGGGAGATTGAGAGATTGAGAGATTGAGAGAGAGAGAGAGAGAGAGAGAGAGAGAGAGAGATATCTTCCATCTGCTGGTTCACTCCCCAAATGACAACAGCCAGGGCTGAGCCAGGCTGAAGTCAGGACCCTGGAACTCCATCTGGGTATTCCACCTGATGGCAGAGGCCCAAACACTTGGACCATCTTCTGCTGTGTTTCCCAGGCCATTAGCAGGGAGCTGGATGGGAAGTGAAGCAGGCAGCAAATAAACCAGCACCCATATGGGATGCTGCCATCATAGGCGGCAACTACCTGTTGTCACGATGCTGGCTCTGACCTTAAAAACAGCTGGCTCTTCAGAAAAAAATTTTACCAACCTTCTTTTAAATGCCAATGTCAAGAAGGAGACTATAAATAACCTGCTGTAAGCACGTTAGGTAGCAGGGGGAGGAGAGAAGGGAAGTTATTAGTTATTGACCATATGCACATTCTCAAAGTAGAAATTCCAAAAAGAGGCAAACTTTGGAATTATTTTCAGGTTAATCAAACAGTTTAATATTCTAGTAGGATTTAAATTACCTCTTTTTTTTAGGCGTGTCCCTTTCATATTCCATAAAATCAAAAACTAACTTGGATATGATATCATCAACAACTTGATAGTGATTACTCTGTGCAAAGCTTCTGTGTTGCTCACTTAGGAGATGCTAAAACAAAAGTAAAAAACATGTCATTAAATTATATTTCTAAATAAAGAGATGCCCCCTTTTTGATTCAGGCTTTCAAACATTTTCATGCCCCTAAAATTAAATTTCCAATAATTATTCCAAAGAATAAGAAGAAGATGTTAAAAGTTCTCAGAAACCACTAAACTACTTTCTGTTTTCCATCTTTCAGTAAGAACAGTACTAATTTATAGTTACAATGAAACTGAAAAGAGAAAGTTGTATCAGAAAAAGAAAATACAGACAAAATGACAGTAACTCTTAATATTTAGTGTATGCTAGCATTTTTAGAAAACACTTTTCCCTTTACTATGATAAATATCAATAAGGTATGGCTTCTATAGAGTACTGAATGAGTAAAACACTATAAATTAACAACTAAGAATCCAAAATACTTAAGATTCTAGAATGCAGGTTTAATGAACAGATGAACATTATGTTGTGAAGTATAAAGAACCAACACTTGTAAGTGAAGAGAACATCTGAGAATGAACAAACAGAAGAGCACAACTTCAGAGTACAGAGCAGCTATTCTCAATCTTAAGAGTGGTTGAACACAAAGTAAACAAGGTCATGGTGTACTGGAATACAACTCACAGTACACAAAGTTCTATCTGAATATGTGGAATGTCCAGGCTAATTCCAGTATTTGTCAACTGATCAGGAAGTTCCACCTAGAGGCTTATACTGTGATGACCAAGGAAGAACCTTCTTCCCATCTCCCTAGTTTCACTTGACTTTAAAATTTGATAACTTCACTGTCTATCAAAAAATTAAATTCTCCACTGACCTTAAAAAACAATGCATCTTGGAATACATATGCATTCCCTCTTAATTGCAAAATTTACCAAGTAGAAATTATACATGGGAGTACTTCAAAAAGTTCATGGAAAAATGTGATTATATGTTCAGTACTATTAAAAAAGGAAATATAATTTATTTTATTTTATTTTTTTTTTTTTTGACAGGCAGAGTGGACAGTGAGAGAGAGAGACAGAGAGAGAAAGGTCTTCCTTTGCCGTTGGTTCACCCTCCAATGGCCGCCGCTGCAGCCGGCGCACCGCGCTGATCCGATGGCAGGAGCCAGGATCCAGGTGCTTTTCCTGGTCTCCCACGGGGTGCAGGGCCCAAGCACCTGGGCCATCCTCCACTGCACTCCCTGGCCATAGCAGAGAGCTGGCCTGGAAGAGGGGCAACCGGGACAGAATCCGGCGCCCCAACCAGGACTAGAACCCGGTGTGCCGGCGCCGCAAGGTGGAGGATTAGCCTATTGAGCCATGGCGCCGGCTCAGGAAATATAATTTAAAAAGAAATATTAAACCTCTAAGTTCAGATTTGGTTTATTCAAATTCTGGCAAAAAATCATTTATTAAAGTAAAACAGTCTCCAATTTATATGCAGTTCCTCTCCATTTCCAATTAATTCTTCATATTTATCCTTTAAATCTTGATTAAATGTCATTTTCTCAGATGGACCATCTATCACTTATTTTAGGTTAAATAACCTCATTATTTATTACTACTGTGTCTTTGTATTTTACTTTTTGTGATACTCATTGCACTTACAACTATGTGTTTTACATCTATTTTCTCTGCCATAACATAAAATGTGCAAGAGTAGGAAATGTCTACCTTGTTTTTGTTTGCTTTAGCTCCAGTACTCAAAAAATAATTGCCAAATAAATTCCAGGTGGACCTACAGAATGTAATCTCCATAAAGGTAGGCACTAGGTCTCTCTTGTTCAATGCTATTCACCCACATCAGTGATTAGAATATAGTAGGTGCTCAATAAGTATTTGTTGAATGGATGAAAATGACTTTCCAATACTATTCCCCCGCTTTAGGTTCCTAAAATTTGAGATATTTCCATCGAAAGGAAATATATGGGGCCGGTGCCGTGGCTCACTAGGCTAATCCTCCACTTTGCAGCGCTGGCACACCGGGTTCTAGTCCCGGTCGGGGCACTGGATTCTTTCCCGGTTGCCCCTCTTCCAGGCCAGCTCTCTGCTGTGGCCAGGGAGTGCAGTGGAGGATGGCCCAAGTGCTTGGGCCCTGCACCCCATGGGAGACCAGGAGAAGCACCTGGCTCCTGCCTTTGGATCAGCGCACTGCGGCGGCCGCAGCGCACCGGCCACAGCGGCCATTGGAGGGTGAACCAACATCAAAAGGAAGACCTTTCTCTCTTTCTCTCTCTCTCACTGTCCACTCTGTCAAAAAAAAAAAAAAAAAAGGAAATACATGATACTTATAATTAACAAGTTATAAACCACCACTGGAAGAATAAGATAACATTTAAACAGCAAATATTACTCATAGTTTTAGAAAAATTAATCCCCTAAATATAAAATCACATTTACAGTTTCAAGATCTTCATATTTCTTCAAACAACATTCACAATATCCTTTTTTTTTCTTCTCTTTCAACTGGAATTGAACTGGTGTTCCACCATATTTATCAGCATCTGTTTGGACTCTGATGATAGAAATACATGGAAAAATAATTAACTGCTGAACCTAATAAACATTTTTTAAAAAATTGTTCTATCATACACAGAATCTGTCATATCACCCAATACTTTTAACTACATTTTAAAAATTAATTTATTTTCATTTTATTTGTCAAAAATAGATCTTCTACCTACTGCTCACTGCCCAAATGCCTGCAATAGCCAAGGCTGGGCCAAACTAAAGCCAGGAGCCCAGAACTCATCTGGGTCTCCCATATGGGGACTGCAGGGACCCACATCATTCAGTTATCACCTGCTGTTCCCCATAGTGCACATGAACAGGAACCTGGATTGGAAGTGTATCTAGAACTTGAACACAGGAACTCCAATATGGGATGTGGGCATCCCAAGTAGTGTCTTAACTACTATGCCAAATACCCATCCAATAATTGCATTTTATTTTGTGCAATTAAAAAGGAAGCTATGGATGCAATGGATAATCTGAAGAATATTTCAGATCATTACATTTTTATTATCTGCAAACATTTTAAGGCCCTCCACTGCAACCAAATATGATACGCTTAAAACAGATCACAATTCAAATCTAGCGAAGGCCTACTAAAATATACAGGTGGAAAAATAACTGGAGTAGTAATAAGAAACACACACAAACCCACCATTGTATAAAATTAGCTACTACAAATGATCATTTATAAAGTAAAATTGCTTGAGATATCAGAAATAGTATTCCTAAAAAATATTAAAAAATTCAAACCAACCTTAGCTTAACCTGAGTTTGTTTTTGGATGGTAGATGATTTATCTATATCAAATGGACTGTAGGGTTTCTGAATAGAATAGTTTATGCAAGGCATAATGGTCAGCTGAAGATAAAATGGCCTATAAAGTCTAAAAGAATAAAAAGACAAATATATGATTCCCTAGGATAAACAAAAACAAGCTTTAAAGTCTAACATTTAAAAATCACATTTGGAGTCTGAAACAATAGACATTGGCTAAGCTTCCCTTCAAAGGACAAATTTCTACAACTAATCTTTATCATTTAAAAACAATCTTTAAATTGTAAAATACATGTATCATAAATTTACTTATCTTAGCTATTTTTAAGTGAATAGTGCAGTTGCATTAAGTATTCTCAGTGCTATGTAACCATCACTACCACTGTCCTTCTCTATAGCTCTCCTCATATTGCAAAAACTGAAACCCTGCACACAATAAAGAAAAAGCTCCTCATTCCTCCTTTCTTCCAGCCCTTGACAACCACCATTCTACCTCCCGTGCTTACGAATACAACTATTCCAGGTACTTCATATACATGGAATCATACAGTATCTTTCCTCTTATTCTCCACACATGACTTCAAGGTTCATTCACGTTGTGGCATTTGTCAGAATCCCATTCTTTTTTAAGTCTGAGTAACATTCCATTGAATATTTATACATATCCCATACACTGTATTTATCCACCCAACTGTTGATAAGACTTGGGTTGCTTCCACCTTTGGTTGTATTTTTTATTTTTTTATGCCAGCCATCCAAATGGGTAAGTGGTATCTCACTGTGGTTGAGATTTGCATTTCCCTAATGATTAATAAGGCTGGCTATCTTTTCATTGTATGTTGTCCATTTGAACTCATATACCATCCTCATAGGAATGTCTATTCAGTGTTTCACCATTTTTTTTTTTTTAAACATTTCATTCATTTGAAAGGTACAGTGACGGAGGAAAGAGAGATCATCCATCCACTGGTTTACTGCCCAAATGGCTTCAACAGCTCCAGCTAGAACCTGGAACTTACAACCCTATCCAGGTCTCCCATGTGAATGTCAAGGGCCCAAGCAGTTGGGCCATCTTCCACTGCCTTCCCAGATACACCAGCAACAGGGAGCTGAATCAGAAGTGGAGCAGCCACTCAACGGAAATCTGTAGAAGTGAAACCGACACTTCGAGAAGCAGTGACTTGAACAGCCCTTGCCTTGTCTGCTGAGGAAGTTTTTTTTTTCTTCATACTATTTGTTGAAGTCTTTACTTAACACAGAGTTAGAGTTAATCATATGTGTATAAAGTCAACTGAAAACATCTCAGTAAAAATTAAGAACGGTAATGAGAAAGGAGGAGGAAGTTTATAACTAAAGTTGTAGAGTTCTGCATACAGTCCTACGGACTTACTTCTAAGAGTACAGTTTAAAAATGTGTCATGGGACCCCAAAAACCATTAAGCTGGGTGGTAAAAATGCCATCTTAAGCGTTCAAGTGATCATATTAAGCGTTCAAGTGAACATATAGATAGGATTAACTGTTGAAGGGATCATATAAATAAGATCAAATGTAATAAGTAGAATTTAAAAAGAGAAAATGCACCGGCCCCATGGCACAGTGGGTTGATCCTCCGCCTGCAGCGCTGGCATCCCATATGGGCGCTAGTTCTAGTCCCAACTGCTCCTCTTCCAATCCAGCTCTCTTCTATGGCCTGGGAAGGCAGTAGAAGACGGCCCAAGTCCTTGGGCCCCTGCACCCACATGGGAGAACTGGAGGAGGCTGCTGGCTCCTGGCTTCGGACTGGCACAGCTCTGGCTGTTGCGGCCATCTGGGGAATGAACCAACAGAAGGAAGACCTTTCTCTCTGTCTTTCCCTCCCACTGTCTGTAACTCTGCCTCTCAAATAAAATCTTAAAAAAAATAAAATAAAAATGTTCCAACATGGGAAGCAGTCCACACAGCAGACTCATCAAATGACAATCACTTTAAGTAGCACTCTGACTTCAAAATAGCCCTTAAGGCATCCTGGTCTGGCTGAAAAGCCCATGAGAGCATCTCAGGCATCGAAAGCCAAGACACTGTGGCAAAAAATGTTCTGCATGAAGGATCTCTGCGAGTGAGACCCCAACAGAAAGACATGGCCATCAAAGAAGGATGTACTTTTCTCTGAAGGGAGAAGAGAGCTTCTACTTTGCTTATGGCCTTGTCTAAATACTGATGGAGACTGTGGATTCAAAAGGCTTCCAAAGCCTAGATAGCTCATGTCAAAAGCCTTGGGTGGTCACTGACATCATACATAAGAGTGTTGTTAGATTAACAACAGGAGTCACTGTGTACTAACTTACCATGCAGGACCTCTGTCCACAATGAGTTTTATTATGACGGTTAACTGCAAAACTGGTTGTCAAACTGTGTGCACAGATTATTGAAATCTTTACTTAGTATAGTGCTGGTCTTCTGTGTATACAGTTAATTGAAAACGAATCTTAATGGGAAATGGGGGTAGGAATGGGAGAAAGTATGGAGGAGGAGCAGTGGGAGTGTGGGTGGGAAGAACCACTATATTCCTAAAGTTGTATTCCTAAAGTTGTATTCCTTAAATAAAAGGTTTCTTTTGGAAAAACAAAGAGGAGGGGGAGAGGGGGAGAAGGAGAAGAGGAGGAGCAGCCAAGGCTTGAAATGGAAAATACTTTTTCCCATTCTTTGGGTTGCATTTTTACTGTATTGTTCTTTGATGCACAGAAATGTATAACTTAATTCATCATTTGTTGCCTGTGTTAACCGTTATATTTAAGAAAGTATTGCCAGATCTATTGTCAACAATCCTTTGTTTTCTTCTAATAATTTTAGGTCTTTGGTTAATCTTGAGTTAATTTTTATTTATGGCATAAGATAAGAGGAGTCCAACTTCCTTTTGCACCTGGACATTTAGTTTTCCCAATACCATATGTTGAAAAGATGGCTCTTTCTCCACTAGGTGTATTTCTGTTGAAAATCATTTGATCATATGTATGATGGCTTATTTCCGGACTCTAATTCTATTTCATTGGTCTGTATTTCTGTCTAATGCCAGCACCAAACTGTTCTTAGCACTGTAGATTTGTATAAGTTTTGAAATCATGGAAGTATGAGACCTCCAACTTTGTTCTGCCAAGACTGCTTTGGGGATTTAGGATTCCTTGAAATTTCATTTGAATTTATGATGGATTTTTCCATTTATGCAAAAACACAACTTGGATTTTGATGAAGACTGAATCTGTAGATCACCGTAAGGTAGTACTGACTGACATCTTGTGAAGTCTTCCAATGCATGCATTGTTATCCTTCTATTTTCTCTAACCCTAATTTTGAATTACAGGTTTTCTTCATGGTAACATATTTCCCAGAAAGATTTCAATACACCTTTGTCACCTCAGTGAGTACCCAAGAATATTACCCAAATATGTCTAAACGATTAACTGGAAAAGGAAAGTAACGAAATTTTCTCAAGCCAAACTTACTTACATTTTAATCTATAGATTTTATTAAAATTATCCTATAGACTTTACAGTGAATTTTAGAAAACTGCCATGTTATCCTCAGATTTTGTTTTTCCAAATTGTACCTACTAATTTCTTTTCTGTAAAAGTAGGAGCAATCTTTAAGTAGTAGTTTCAAATCATTTGACACTGAATTTAGCCAAAGAATGTAAAGCACTCAAAAATTAGTTGGTTTCAAAGATTGTTTCAAACCAGGTATTTCAAAGAGATAGCTACAACATACTGACACTAAATTAGTCCTGGAGCTCAAATAAATTAATACTATTTTAATGTGCATCACATGCACATTAGTATAACAAATCTTACTATAGGAATCTAACAGCATTAATGGAGCCAGCTTGGTTAGTTAAGAGATATTTCTATTTTAATATTATACTTGAATCATACAGATCGAACTTATATACTTACTGACTCATATCTTCCACTTTAACAAAAGGCTTTTTGAGTCTTCCTGCTTGAGAACACAGAAAATATTAAACACTTGTAAGTCTGCACGTGTGTGTTTTTTTTTTTTTAACAAAACTACATGACAATGAACTCCTCCCCTGCTCCCAAACACCTTATGTATTCATTTCAAAGTTTAAGCCTCAGGTGAGATATTTTCCATTATCACTCCATTTCCAAAAATAATAGAAGCTCTATGTATATTCCCAGATTGTTAAACTGAATGGATCCCCACAGGGTATGTGAATAGAAGTCAGAACAAATATGAACTGGAATAAGAGAAAAAAAGAAAAACCCTGCATTTTCATTTTCCTCTAACTGAAATTTAATATTTCCTCCAATTGTAAGCAAAAAAAAAATCACAATTATCTTTTAAATAGCTATATCTTTGATACCAAAGCAAACAGAAGAAATTTTGATATATTGCACTTCACTGAAAGCATCATTTATGCTAATCATTTCAAAATTAAAGTAACAATTCGAATCATTAGAACTTGTTTTGATGGATAATAAAAGCAAGTACGTCACTAATTCACAATAAAACCTACTTTGATAACAGAATTCTAATACAACTGATTTTCTTGGTAATCTAATAATTTTTACTAAAACATTTTAGAGGCAGAGAGAGAGTGAGTGAGAGCACTCCCATTTGTCAATTCATTACCCAGCTGACTGCAATGGCCAGGAATGGGATGGACTGACACCCAGTGCCAAGAACTCAATATATGTCTCCCACATGGGTGACAGGAACCCAACCACTCAAGTCGTCACCACTGACCCCCAGGTCTACATCAGCAGCAACCTTAAGTCAGAATCCAGAGGTAGGCATTCCAACAACCATTAAGTAAAACACCAACCCCCACCCCCTAAATATTTTCCTTAAAAAATATTATTCTGAGAAGCAGGGGGATGGGAGGTTGTTATACACTTCTTCAGCAGGGTCCATGTACTCAAAAAGTCCTAAGAAACTTATGAATAAATCATTTAAAGAGTTGTTTGCATGATTTTAGAAGACCTTTGTATAATTTCCTCTATTCTTTAAAAGCAAACTAAATACATTTAAAGATTTCAAAAATACTTACTTTTGGTTTTTTGTGTGCAAACACCAACTCTTTTCCCCTAAAAAAATTTAAAAACACTGAATTTAAAAACAGTAAAAACAGCAAATTCAGTTGCTCAGTATCCTCAAGATTAAAAAAATCATATAGGAAAAGTAGCATATCAAAGAGGAGTACTTTGTGAAAAAGAAATAAAGTTTGCCTTATAAAATCAACTAAATCAAAGAAAAGTAGCAATGATCATTCAAAAATTAATATTTATTATTTATTTGAGAGGTAGAGTTAGAGAGAGGGAGAGACAGAGAGAAAGATCTTCCATCCTTTGGTTCACTCCCTAAATGGCTGCAATAGACAGAGATGGGTTGAATGGAAGCCAGGAGCTTCTTCTGGGTCTCGTACATGGGTGCAGGGACCCAAGCACTTGGGCCATCCTCCACTGCACTCCCGGGCCACAGCAGAGTGCTGGCCTGGAAGAGGGGCAACCGGGACAGAATTCAGCACCCCGACTGGTACTAGAACCCGGTGTGCCGCTGCCACAGGCAGAGGATTATCCTATTGAGCCACGGCGCCAGACTAAATAAATAAATCTTTACCAAAAAAAAAAAAAAAAAGTTATGGTTTGTTTGATTATATCTTCATTCTAAAGCATGAGTAATCACTTTGTAACAATGATCAAATATGGTCTTCATTATGTCATGATGTTAAGGAATCCTGTTTCTACCAGATATTTTATACCTTCTTGGCACCTTTGACAGCCATTCAAAAAATCAAAGTTCCAAATTTCTTGGATTTGATATTTCCAGTTGGGCCCTTGGAAATATAAAAAGGATTTCTGTCTCATCTTGCAGAGACAGCAACCAATAAAGCTATTTGGATTATATTAAAGGTAGTGTCAAGATGTGAATGGTGCTAAATTTTAGGTTATGATAATGTAAAACGCTACTGATACAAATGTCCAAGTTACCAAAATCTAAAGATGTTGTGTTGTTATCAGAATGACAGTTACCTTAATGAGAAAGGCCCAGAGGCCTAAAGGGGTTAAATGTTTTATAAAATCCTACAGGTGGCTGGTGCCGCAGCTTAATAAGCTAATCCTCCGCCTGTGGCGCCGGCACACCGGGTTCTAGTCCTGGTCGGGGCACCGGATTCTGTCTCAGTTGCTCCTCTTCCAGTCCAGCCCTCTGCTATGGCCCGGGAGTGCAGTGGAGGATGGCCCAAGACCTTGGGCCCTGCATCCGCAAGGGAGCCCAGGAGAAGCACCTGGCTCCTGGCTTTGGATCAGTGTGATGCACCGGCCGCAGCGCGCCGGCTGCAGCAGCCATTGGAGGGTGAACCAATGGCAAAACAAAGACCTTTCTCTCTGTCTCTCACTGTTCACTCTGCCTATCAAAAAATAAAATAAAATAAAATAAAATAAAATCCTGCAGGTGCTTTCAAAAATACTATATGCAGTAATCAAGAGCCTCCTGTTGGTTAATGAGTTTATAATTTTAAACACTGTTATTTAAAGTCTTTTGTCATCCACAGCTCTGTATTCTCTAAACACTAAAAAATTAGATTTCTATTAATGAGGTTAAAACATTGTTGGTTCTATGTCGAATGTGTCCTCTCTTAGGTTCCAAAGGAGTTCTTTTTCTCTGACCTCTGTTGTATTCAATACTTTGGGACAGTTCTCTAAGCACATAATGCCAATAATGGATTACAGGTTCCAACAGAGATAAAGTATGGTTAATTTAGGTTACTAAGAACAGGAAGTAATTGTAACTGATTGATGGTAATTAAAAAAAAAACAGCTAAAGATTTTAAAAAACTTATTGAAACTGCTTTACTCTTCTATCTTTTATGTTATACATGTGTACATATTATATGTCCACATGGGAAAATTCATTAAGAGCTCTGTTTTAATAGGATTATAGATTGCTCATAAATTTGAGCTGCTAAGTTAATCAAAGATTAATGTTTTTGGTTCACATGATCTAAATAAATCTCTGTATCAGATGTTTTAAATTTGTTGGCAGAAAGAAACTAAAAGTGTTTGTACTTGGGTTTGCTGGTCAAACAAGTTAACACTTGTGTTAGATATTTAAGCGATGTTTCCAAATACATGTTCTCTTGTCTTGAAATTTATAGAGGGCACTGGACCTTTGGTAAATGTTTTCATAAATTGTTATTTAACAGTTAAAATTGCTTGCTAAGTTTTCATTTGATATTAAGTTATTGACAATAAGTGATCTGAGAAGGCTGACTTGTTCCCTCATTTCTCTATTCTCTTCAAGATGGGAAACTGACTCTATACTGAAAGACTCTCCAGGATGTACAGTTTGATCTTTAGACTTTATAAAAGGGATGGCTAACAGTTTTCTGTAATAGCAAAGCCAAAATAAGAGCTTAAATTATGATTTCACAGCTAGATTTACTTTGCCATGGGCACAGTAAAAAATCTCCCTTTCAGACCAAATGAAGGGAGAGAAAGTTTCACTAATGACTTCAAATTTTATGAGGGGGTCATCATGTTTGATGTCAAAGTGAGGACATAGCTTTCTTTATGGGCATTGATACCTCACAGAAAAATCACTATCAGAACATACCTATGACTATAGATTTCTAGCTTAGGCCACCAAAGATTAGGAATAGGATTGAGCACCCCCTTGACTTGCATCCTCTTAAAGACTGCCTCCATGGTCTCCTTTACCAGAAACCAGGAGAAAAAAGGAGCAAGCTGGGCAGTGGTAGCCATGGAAAGATAGGTGACAGGCCAATTAATGGCTGCTTTACACAGTGATCTGCCATCAAGGAGTCCCAACAGGCCACAGCACCGCAAATGGCATTGGTTTTCAATGTGGAAAGCCAGGGCTTCAGATGGATACAGAAGTCAGCCTTCAGATCCTGGCACCTCTGCCAGCCAAGAGTTGGGTCGCTGGAAATGGAACTGACCTGGAGTCCAAGCTCCTTCTGAGCTCCCGGTTTACGGTAAAGCAAATTAGGTATCCCACCTCTCTGATGGCTCTTTGTTTTATATAAATTGAATAGCAAATATATCAGGAGTTTCATGCTTTGTAGGTTGAAAGGTGAGAAGCATAAAAGGAGAGATACAAGAAGTTTGGATAAAAGGAATTACAAAAATTAGATGTAGTTAGGTAGGGATTGAAATTAAGGGAGGTTTTTTTCTATTTGTTTTACAGAATGGAAATGCTTGGATTTGTATAGCGGGTTCAAAGAAGAAACCAGGAGAAAAAGCAGAAATTGAAGATATGGTAACATCAGGTCTAATGCAGCACATTGCCCAGTGTGGGTAACAAACATTTCACAGTTAGGACAGCAAATCTTATCTTATGGGTGGTGGGGGTAGGGGTGGTGGTGAAGTGTATATACGTATGCATGTGCATGTGTGTGTGCAGCAAGGCTACATTACATTAACAAACAGAGCAGTTGAAAGGAAATACACTTCCGATATATATTCCAAAAAACAGCACATTACTTGAATTAGTAGTATCTTCTAATGCAATAAGGTAATTTCAGTGTTTTCCTATAAACAGAAGTATCTGTTAAAAACTGCAGTAACCAAAAATGAAAAAGACAAAAAGAAGCCCATGCTATTATCCCAAAACAACTTTCACCTCTTGAGTATAATCCTCAAGATAAATGACATGCAACTGTTTTTTGAACAATAGAAACATTAAAACACAAAATCATACTTAGTATATCCTGGCAATAATAGTTTGTATGGCAAGAAAAATTTATAGATACATACATAAAAAAAATCAAACTTGATTACTTTTAAAATTAAAGAAGACAACATACCACATCTTTTACAGAAACACTTGATTTCTTGAATAAATACAACTCCTTTTTCTTTTGGTCAATGTAGTATCTAATGTCTTTATTAAAAAAAAAAAAAAAAGAGAGAGAAAGATTTGAGATTAGCAACTTTAGCCTGGAGTTAAAACACTGTTTTGTTTTTTCATAATTGTAATAGATTGAGATGAATGAATTGCCATTACAAATATCTCTTGCTATCAAAGTTTTGACTATGTAATGTCAGGAACTGAGGGGTAGAATGAGTTAACAAATACTGTCCAAAGACAATTATAAAATCCTTACCATCAATATGAAGAATCTTTACTCCCCATGATAAGGCATTTGATAATATACTATTTGAAGGAATAAAATCCTGTAAAAAAATTTGATAATTTTTCTAAGAAATTATTATTTTAAAGAGAGCTAAACTGTTAAAAAAATCAGTTATTTGAAGCATACTATCTCTGAGATGGTAATTCATAACAGACCAACTTCACAAAAGTAAAGAGGATATTAAGTTCTTACTTTTGACACTTCTAAAATCAATCCCACTAAAAATACATTCTCACATTTTTAACAATTTAATGCATATTTGTAAGACAAATTTCAAGTTTCCAGTAATATTTTAAAAGGCCACAAGATGGGGATGTTTCTTCATGAAAAGGACATTGTAAAATGAGATACAGGTTGAAATGCATGTTTCTTCTATTAAAAATGAGGAAAAGAATGCTTCAAGAATATACACTATGAGTTTTAATAACAAAATGTACAGTGTGAACTTTTAAAGTTCTTACTTACATGGTCCTTGATAGCTTTTTCAACCAATAATTTTCCTCTGCTTAAACACACCTATAAAAGGACCAGAAAAATGAAGTTATAACCTAATGTTTCAGTGTAGAAGAAAGGTTACAAAGGTAAAATAGCTAAAGTAATGTTTTATTTGTAAAAGTCTTAATAGCTATCAATACAATACATATACAGTGAAAAGTGATTTCTTCATGGCCTTGGCAAGATCTCAGATTTAAAAAGTTTTTTTGGATTGAGCAATTCAACTGAAAGAGACCTAACAGATCAGTTTTGAAAAATAGCCAGGCCACACCAGAATTTTACATAATTAGTTGATTTATATTTTAATTTACTATTTAATTGAAGATTTAAGAAAAATAATTTTATATATTGTTTTTACATGTTATTTCATTTTTTAAATAAAATACTAGGAAAAGCAGTTGAAATGCAATGAACAACAATCAATTTGGAATAAACCACTTGTGTACTGTCTCCTTGCTCCAAAAATTCATGCATGAGTCTTCCTTGGTTTCTTCTTTTGATTTTTTTTTTCCTTCTGTGAATCATGTTTTATAATTTCTTCTGTAGGTCATTTTTCCTGCCTGTTTTCTTCTCCTTTTCTCTGCTTTTCAAATTGGTACAGTAGATGAGGGTTTATTTTCCTACTTTAGATTTATTTGAAAGGCAGAGTTAGAGAGAGCGAGAGAGAGAGAGAGAGAGATCTTCCATTTATTGATTCATTCCCCAAATGGCAGCAATGGCCGGAGTAGGGCTAGTTCAAAGCCAGGAGCCAGGAGCTTCTTCTGGATTTCCCACATAGGTGCAGGGGCCCAAAGACCTGGGCCATTCTCCACTGCCTTCCCAGGCGAATTAGCAGGAAGCTGGAACAGAAGTGGAGCAGCTGGGAGTTGAACCAGGGCCCATATGGGATGTCGGCACTGCAGACAGTGGCTTTACCTACTAGACCACAGGGTTTTTAAGGTTTATTTGAAATGCAGAATTAGAGAGAGAGGGAGAGACATAGAGTGAGCTTTTCCATCCACTGGTTCACCCCCTAAACAGTCGCAAGGGCCAGGGCTGAGCCAGGCCAAAGCTGGGAGCCTTGAACTCCTGGGTTTCCTATGGGGGTTGCAGGGGCCCAAACACTCAGGCTATATTCCACTGCTTTCTCAGGTGCTTTAGCAGAGAGCTGGATCAGAAGATACAGGGAAGGACAGAATAAGGTGATTTAATAGAGTGTGGGGAAGGGAAAAGGTCGAGATATAAAATGTTAGGTTTATCTCATATTCCACTGCTTTCCCAGGCACACTAGCAGAGAGCTGGATCAAAAGCAGAGCAGCCAGGACTTGAACCAGATTTCACATGGGATGGTAGCATAACAGGTAGTGGTTTAACCTGCTGCACCACAATGTTACCCCAATTGAGGATTTTTTAAAATGAGAATTTAAATATGTTTCAATATAAAAAAAAATGAGATAAACCTAACATTTTATCTCTCAACCTGTTCCCCTTCCCACACTTTATTAAACCATCGTATTCTATCCACCCCTGTATCTTCTTGGCAGTGGAATAGCTGGGATGTCATGTTAGAAACTCTAAAACAGGCTGGTACCCTTTTTATGCAAAGGGTCAGATAATACAGATTTTATGTCTTACAGATGATATAGTTTCTAACAATTATTCTATTCTTTCTAAAGCATGAAAACCACCACAAATAATATATAATAATTCTTTAAAAGAACGATGTGCTATTAAACTTTTAGTTGTAGATTACTCTAAAAAATATAATTCATCCTTAAATGCAAGGTATATGTTAAGAATCAGGGTACAGGGCTGGTGCCATGGCTCACTTGGTTAATCCTCTGCCCACGCGCCGGCATCCCATATGGGCACTGGGTTCTAGTCCCGGCTGCTCCTCTTCCAGTCCAGCTCTCTGCTTTGGCCTGGGAGGGCAGTAGAGGATGGCTCAGGTGTTTGGATCCCTGCACCCGCGTGGGAGACCAGGGAGAAGCACCTGGCTCTGGATTGGTGCAGCGCTGGCTGTAGCGGCCATTTGGGGAGTGAACCAACGGAAGGAAGACCTTTCTCTGTCTCTCACTGTCTATAAATCTACCTGTCCAAAAAAAAAAAAAAAAAAAAAAAATCAGGGTACAAATACACAAGCACTATTTTTTTTTTTTTAAATCACCTTTCCCAAAGACAATCAGAAAGTCTTGTGGCTTTATAACTGCTCTATCTATATAAACTCTGTTGCCAGTCTGGTATTGATAGGTGACAGCCTTTCAAAGCATATTTGAGACTTACTGTGTCTGGAGACTTAAATGAACTTCCATCATGGCTGGGATGAGGAGAAGTGGTTTCTGCAGTATATGCAGATTCTGGACTTGGTACAGGAGATATTCGGCCCAAAGTTTGAGCAAATTTAGCTTCCTTTTTATTTGAAATAAGATAACTGATATCTTTGCTGAGAAATTCTTCAACTCGCTAGAGGAAAACAAAACATTTGCATGTCATAAAAACCAATTGTTTCATACACTAGGCACATAGTAAAACCCCAATTTGATGCAATTTACTGTCTTAAAAATTAATGTTTTTAATGCTGAACCTGGAATTCTAAGGAAATGTAATCAGACTTTCAATAACACAACAGTATGTGTTGTAATCCATGTAACAACCCCATAGTATTAATATTATCCATCTTTTTGAGAAGACAACAAAAAAGAAATGGCTTACTTGAGATTATACCAATAGTGAAAGCCCATGATCTAAAGCAGCAGAGTCTGGCCGGTGCCACAGCTCAATAGGCTAATCCTCCGCACACCGAGTTCTAGTCCCGGTCGGGGTGCCGGATTCTGTCCCGGTTGCCCCTCTTCCAGGCCAGCTCTCAGCTGTGGCCCTGGAGTGCAGTGGAGGATGGCCTAAGTCTTTGGGCCCTGCACCTGCATGGGAGACCAGGAGAAGCACCTGGTTCCTGCCTTCGGATCGGCGCAGTGTGCCGGCTGCAGTGGCCACTGGAAGGTGAACCAACGGCAAAAAGAAGACCTTTCTTTCTGTTTCTCTCACTGTCCACTCTGCCTGTCAAAAAAAAAAAAAAAAAAAAGGGGCAGCAGAGTCCAGTAAAATTTCCTCAATGACGAAAAGAGTTTTCTGCACTAGCCAATACAGCAGCCACTTGCCACATATGGTGACTAAGCACTTGAAAAGTTTTCAGTATGACTGGGCCATTGGATTTTAAATTTTATTTGAAGCTAAATCATTAAGTTGTAACACTTTCCCCCAAGGCTTAAACTTACAAGAAAGAGAAAATCTTTACCTTAAGAGTGTAAGATTGTTAAACGAGAATCTGCCTACTAAAATGTTTGAAAATCACTGCTTAAATGCCTGAATATTATAAGCACATAAACCAAAGTCAATGTTACTGAAGATCACTCACATCCTGGGGCAGGAAAATTAAGCAGAAGTAAACACTAAATAGAAAAATACTAGTATTACTAAAATATATACATTGCACAAATAAATATTAAATGAACAGTAAGTACACTAAGTAGAAATAAATTATTAATCCCTATTTGTATGGAAAAAAAGACTTCTGAATTGGATAATTTTATCTAAGTATGCAGAATTTGCTACTGAGACCCAGAAAGCCTTCTTTGGTAACATGTAAATCAATTTTTTTTGAGTATTTCTGTTGGCTAATAAATAAAGTACCCACATTTATTTATTTCAGGGATTAAATATTCAGTTGCCTGCCACAGCCAGAAAGGAACTTAAAGGAACAATTTACACATTAAACACTGTCTTCATTTTCATAAAAGATACCCTAGCAAAGACGGAGGTTCTAATTTTAAGAGAAGCCTCTCCTACATATTTTGTGATAAAATAGACCTGAAAACTTTTACCATTTCAACCATTTAAAAATGTTTATTTTTATTTATTTGAAAGGTAGCGAGACAGAGAGAGCTCTTCCATCACTGGTTTACTACTCAAATGCCCACAATAGCCAGGGCTGGGCAAGGCCAAAATCAGGAGCCAGAAACTCCAGCTGTCTCCCCCGTGGGTAGTAGGAAGTCAAGTCCTTGAGTCATCACCTGCAGTCTTCCAGCACACATTACCAGGAAGCTGCATTAGAAGCAGAGCAGTCAGGACTCCAACTGGAGCTCTGATATGGAAAGAAGGTATCCCAAGAAGCAGCTTATTACCCCACTGTGCCACACTGCCTGCCCCATTTTAACCATTTTCAAGCATAGAAGTCAGTGACAATACTTTCATAATGTTATGCAACTATCACTGCTATCAAGATTTCTAGAACGTTTTTCATAATCCCAAAGTGAAAAATCTGTACCCAGTTAAACAAGTACACATTCTCCTCATCCCCACTCCCACCCCTACCCCCAGCTCATGGTAGCCTCTATTCTATCTTCTGCCTGTATGAATGTGGCTCTTCTAGGTATCTCATTGCCATCAAGGTCCTCAACAAAACCCACATTGGAATTTAATACTCATTGTGTGGTCTTAAGAAGGTGAAAACTTAATCTACAGCATTTGGAAGTGGGACCTTTGGTAGGTAATTAAAGGTTAAATGAGGCCAAAAGGGCGGCACTCTAATCCAATGGGACTAGGACTTTAAAAGAAACAGAAAAGTTTCACTATGTAATGTTCTCCCTGTCATGGGACTTTGCAGTAGGTTTCCACCACTGAGGACCTTACCAGATATGGCCACCTGACTTAGAACTTTGAGCCAAATAAAACTTTATCCTCAGTCTGTTACACAGAAAATGGACTAACACAATCATATTAAGTGGAGTCTTGTATTCATCCTTTTATGACTGGCTTCTTTCACTTAATACAACATTTTTTAGGTTCATTCATGTTGTAGCAAGTTTCAGTTTCATTCCTTTGAAACCTGAGTTAACGCTCCATTGCAAGTATATACAATGTTCTGTTTATCAATTCACCTGTTGGATGTTATGGCTGAAGAACAGTATCTGTGAATAATACTGCTGCCATGAACATGGATATAATAAATCTCTCTTCCAGAACTTATTTTGGACACATATACTCATAAGTAAAACTGCAGGATCATACATAGCATAAAATATTTTTTCAGAAACTACCCATGGTGTTTCACATAGTGGCTGCATCATTTAACATTCCCACTAAGAGTGGACAAAGGTTTCATTTCTCCACACTTGTCATCTTCTGATTTTTTTTTAAATATTTAATTTATCTGAAAGGCAGAGATAGAGAGAAGGAGAAAGAGAGAGAGAGATCTTCCATCCATTGGCTCACTCCCCAAATGACCACAACAGCCCAGGCTCAGCCAGCCCAAAACCAGGAGCCAAGAACTTCCTCTGGGTCTCCCACTTGGGTGCAAGTGCCCAAGCACCTGGGCCCATCTTCTGCTATCTTCTTTGGACATGAACAAGGAGATGGATTAGAAGTGGAGCAGCCAGGACTTGAACCAGCGCCCATAGGGTATGCCAGCACACGACAGTGCCAGCTCCCTGATTCATTGACAGTAGCCATCCTAATGAGCATGAAGTGGCAACTCACTGTGATTTTTATTTGCATTTCTCTGATGCCTAGAAATGTTGAGCATCATTTCATGTACTTAACAGCCATGAGGGTATCTTCTTGGAGTAAATGTCTTTACAAGTCCTTTGCCTAATTTTTAATTGAGTTATTTTTTACTATTGAGTTGGAAAAGCTCTTTGTATAGTCAGGATGTCAATCTCTTATATATATATATATGATTTGCAAATAGTTCCTATCAGTCTGTGGGTTGTCATAACTTCTTTTTTTTTTATTTGACAGATAGATTTATAGACAGTGAAAGAGAGAGAGACAGAGAGAAAGGTCTTCCTTCCATTGGTTCACTCCCCAAATGGCCGCTACGGCTGACTCTGTGCCAATCTGAAGCCAGGAGCCAGGTGCTTCTCCCTGGTCTCCCATGTGGGTGCAGGGGCCCAAGCATCTGGGCCATCCTCCACTGCCCTCCCAGGCCACAGCAGAGAGCTGGACTGGAAGAGGAGCAACCAGGACTAGAACCCAGCGCCCATATGGGATGCCGGTGCCACTTGTCATAACTCTTTGATAATGTTCTTGAGGCACCAAACTTCCTAAATTTGATAAAGCCCAATTTTCCCATTTTTTCATTAGTTGCCTATAATTTAGCTATCATATCCAAGAAATCATTGCCAAATAGTATCACACAGTTCCTTTGGATTTCTGCAAACTTAAACTCCTTAGAACTGAGTAAAATGCTTTTTACAACACTAATACAATTTTGTTTTTTGCCATTCACCCCATCTAAATTCCAAGCTCAAGTCACAATGCAACATTAATAGTTAGGAAAAAAAACCACTTTGACATCTATTTTAAATATGCCCTTTCCTCTATTAAAATGTCCACTCTGCTTGGTGCATTCCCATTAAGTCTTAAAGACTCAGCTCAAATTTTATCTCTATGGCAGTGTTATAATTTTCCTCTTTTAATAGCAATTTCTATATATTTTTGCTAACATACTAACAATGCTCTATTGTAAAGCATGTATTAAATTGTTTGACATTCCTCCTAGGCTGAGATTCCATGAGCAGACTATATCTTACTGTTACATTCCCAGCATCTAAAATAGTGCTGGCATACTGGAGCCACTGATAGAATAATTTTTGAATGAAATCTCCCATGTCCATATTTTTGTTAACTTTACTTATTTGAACTTATTTGAGAGATAGATACACACACAAAGTGAACTCCCATCCACTGGCTAACTTCACACAAAGTGACTCCCATCCACTGCCCAGGAACCTGGAAGTCAATCCAAGTCTCCCACTTGGGTAGTAGGGATCCAACTATTTAAGCCATCTTCTGAGGCATCCCAGGGTACACACCAGCAGGAAACTGGAATAAGGAGCAGAAACAGGATTGTGACCTAGGTACTTCAATATGGGACATGCCATTTTATTTTATTTTATTTATTTGAAAGAGAGTTATAGAGAGAGAGAGGGAGACACAGAGATAGGTTTCCACCCACTAGTTCACTTCCCAAATGGCAGTAAAGGCTGGGGCTGGGCCAGGCCAGGCCAAAGTTAGGAGCCAGGAGCTTCTTCCAGGTCTCCCACTTGGGTGGCAGGGGTCCAAGGACTGCTGATTCTTCGGGCTCAACAGTAGAGAGCTGGATTGAAAGTGAAGCAGCCAGGATTCATAACCAGAGAGCATATGGGATGCCAGTGCTGTAGGCAGCAGCTTTACCAACTACGCCACAATGCCAGCACCAGGATGTGAATGCCTTAACTACTGCGCCAAACACTCAGCCCTCACTTGCCCAAACTGTAATCATTCTTCAAATTTTATTTACGTTCAAATTTATTTAGTTCAAATTTTATTTATGTAAAATTCTCTACAATTCTTCAGATGGAAGTAATCTCTCTCTCTTTCTAGCATTCTATGTTGTATTATAATTAATTAGACCCATGCCATCTCTACCTAGATCAGAACTTGAGGGTATGATACACACTGGATTCTGGATTCATGTTTTCATCTACCAAAACACACAACACTGTGCACTGCACACCATAATCAACTATTCATATGTGTTGACATTACCATGATCTTCAATTTATTAGATATTCTTGAATCTGTGACTTTAAAGATAAACACAGAACTTATTTTCTGGTGACTCAAGGTCATGGTGGCTAACATCAAACATTAAACACTGTCCTCAAGTACATGATATGGCAAGGCACTCTGCCCTCACATTTCTGTTCTCCAATTGCCTTAGTTTAGCTAAAATTGTTAAAGACATGGATCTAAATGTGATTGGTTCCATCTCCTCCTTAGATGGTTTATAAAAGTCACTTTTCCTGCTACTATTAAAGACATTTGGCGATGATGTTGTTAATTCACCAATATACTCCCACATCTGAATTTGTCGGAAGTGTGCTCTATAGATAAATGGGATACTAAAATGTTTTAATTAAAACCAGAAAAATATATAAAATACTCAATTTAAAGAAAAAACACCATCAGTAATAATCTGGAGATATACTATAAAAACGATAAGGGGCCCATGTAAAATTAAATAAGCATAGGGCAGGCATTTGGCCTAATGGTTAGGATCTCACTGGGGACTCCTGCATTCCACAATGGAGTACTTGGGTTCAAACCTGGCTCTACTCTCAGATTCCTGCTAAACACTCTGGGAAGCAGCAGGTCACGGTTCTAATGGCCAGGTTCCTCCTACTCACATGGGAGATGAAGACTGAGTTCTGGGCTACTGGCCTGGCCAAGGCCCTGCTGCTGCAGACATTTGGGGAATTAGGTGGTAAATGGGAAATGTCTCTTTCAAATAAACAACAACAACAAATAGGCAATACCCTTTCAAGGACTATCTATTTAAGTAGATTAGTATTTTTTAGTATTTAATGTTAAAATTCATTTTAAATTAGTATCTTTCACAACAGATGTTTGTAAAAATTAGGAGTGGGGATGGGAGGGAGACGGAAGGAGAGCTGGAGCATGGGTGTGAGGGAAGGATCACCATGTTCCTAAATCTGTGTATATGAAATACATGAAACTTGTATAATTTAAGTAAAATTTGTTTAAAAATTAGCATCTAGGTCCTATATTTCATGTAGATCTTTATGACACGATTTTTTTTAGTGATCGAGCATCAGAAATGGAAACCAGGATTCCAGGAAAGACAGTATACGAGGAGATCAGAATTCAATGAATAAAAATATTTTAAGAAGACAGTTGGGGCTGCTATCATGGCACGGTGGGTTAAGCTGCTGCTTCTGACACTGGTTTGGTACTGGTTTGAACCCAGGCTGCTCTGCTTGAATCCAGCGCCCCTCTAAAGTACCTTAGAAAGCAAGGGAAGATAGCCTACATGCTTTGGGTATTTGCCACTAATGTGGGAGACCCAGATGGAGTTCCAGGCTCCTGGCTTTGGCCTGGCCCAGCCCTGGCCACTGCGGCCATATTGGGAATGAATGAAAGGATAGAAGATCTCTTTCTGTCTCGTCCTCTGTTAGTCTGCATTTGAAATAAATCAAATAAACCTTTCTAATTGTTTTATATTTATTTCTTTGAAAATCAGGCCAAAGCCAGGAGCAAGGAGCTTCATCTGGGTTTCCCACGTGGGTTGTAAGGGCCCAAGCTCTTGGGCCATCTTCCAATGATTTCCTAGGGCATGAGTAGGAAGCTGAATCAAAAGTGGAGCACCAGGACTCAAACCAGTATCCATATGGGATTCCAGCATCAAAAGCAGAGGTTTCACCCACTATGCCATAATGACAGCCCTGATAAAATAAATCTTTCTTAAAAAAAATTCAGTTAAAAATCTACAATTTTGAGGCACAAATTTAATGACTTAAGCCTTTAATATTTTATTAGTCTACTTCAAACCACTGGTAAAGATTTGAAATGTATAAAACCAAAAGATCCCTCAACTATTATCTATGGCAGATATAATTAAAAATCTGTTTCTTGTAAGTGTCTCAGAAACTGCTGTGGGGTTGACAGGGACTCTAGACTCCATACTGCTGCTTTAGCCACAATTCCCTTTTTACAGGCTTTTCACGCTGGACTTTTAAATGTGCATTTTATAGCGCTGCTAAAAACACAAATGTTAACATCATTATTATTAGCTAATGGATTAGTCATCACATTTCAGAGACCTGTCCCAGAAAGCTACTTTATAGCCAATGATTGCTGAAGGAACAAAATGGAACAGTGGTACTTAACTCTGGGAATTGAGTGGCTAATACTGTTCTGATTGGGCCAGTTATGTAGACTTCATTATGTACTTCATTTCTACAATGAAGATGTATATTTAATTTTTTTAAAGATTTATTTATTTGAAAGGCAGAGTTACAGAGAGGCCAATGCAGAGAGAGGTCTTCCACCTGCTGGTTCACTCCCCAGATGGCCACAACGACCAGAACTGAGCCGATCCGAAGCCAGGAGCTTCTTCCAGGTCTCCTACGTGGGTACGAGGACTCAAGCACTTGGGCCACCTTCTGCTGCTTTCCCAGGCCATAGCAGAGAGCTAGATCGGAAGTGGAGCAGCCAGGACTCCAACTGGCACCCACAGGGATGCCAGCACTGCACACAGTAGCTTTACCTGCTACGCCACAATGCCGGTCCCAAACATGTATATTTGATGTCTAAGTCCTTAACAAATTAAAACCACCTTGATAGGTAGTATAGTTCATAATATCATTAGAAAGCCTATAAATTAAACGCAACCTTTGGGAATTCAATGATACGTTCATTATACTACACACTACTAATACAAATATGTGTTGTGATGTTTTACTTCAGCAAAAAATAAGCAGCAAAACAGAATATTTTTTCCAAGATAAATAAAATAAGTGAAACATCACACCAACAAGCAATTCTAGAAACTTCATTACACATTCTTCTTAAAGAGTCTAGTCTGGCACTGAAAGGATGTTCAAAGATGTTGATCTTCAAAGTCCAGAAATTTTTAGACAGAAAACATCTTAATAACCATATCTGCTAAAATTTAATATCTTCCTTAATCCTAAGAAAACGTACAACTTTGCTTGACTTTCCTAATTCCCAATTAATGTATAAGGTAAGACAGCAGGTTTTTCAAATTCTTACTCTAAAATTTTGTTTCCTTAATGACATTTATTTTGTTGAGCCTCTGTATCTCTATCACCCAACAGCAATTTTACTTGCTTTCCATTTGAACAAGTTCTCATTCTGCAGTAACATTCTAAATTGTTACATTAGTCCATATAAACCTAAGTAGATTTCTACTAATCACAATCAAAGTGCTCCCACTCTCCACAGGGCATCCACCATTACAGTGAAAAGCAATGAGTGGTTCTATTAGGTAAGAGAGTCTCATTTCTCAACACTTTGGGAATTCAATACTAATCTCCCAATCACAGAAACCTGAAGTTTTGTCAGGCTACAAAAAGTTAAAACAAATGGTTTTTCATTAAAGACACAACAGTTGCTTAAAAATAAAATCTTAAGCATGGTGGTAATACATGGTTGTAAATTTTCCAAAAACAATTTAATTACTTGATTACAAAATTTTCCTTTTCTGTCAATGTATGGTTTTCACTTACCCCTCCCAGATCCTTAATATCCTTTTTCAGTTTTTCACATATGGTCACAGAAGGTATGTCAAGGTAAAATACTTTTCCCCAAAGTGGCTTATATTTGGATTTTTCTGGTCTGTTTTCAGTTTTCAGAGATTTCAAAGATGATCTGTTTTTTTCATTTTTGACTTGGATTCCACCTGTTATTAAAAATATTTAGAATGAGCTAATAATGTCTTACTACAGATGCAGTTGCTACTGTCTCAAAAGTATTTCATGAAACCATAATATCACAGGAGCAATTCCTATAATCCCACCAATTAAAAGTTATTAGCATTTAAATATACTTCTTTGTAGTACCACAAGCCAAAGGCAGCAGGCCCCACACATTTTTTCTTGACCCTACCATAAAAGTAGCAGTTGGATCCGCAGGAAGCATCCGTGTGCATTCACGACTAAGGCACGGAACTAAACAAAACTGCACACAGGAGCTTCAGAAGTGTGCAAGGCCTCCCTGGGCTGTTTACTGAGCCCCTCCGCCACTCTGCTGAGCTCCAACGCTGCCCACTCGGGCCGGCCGCGCACGAAGCTCAAGGGTTCCAGGTTCTTGTAAACCTGGTCTCCGCTACGAGGAGCGCGGCGGCCCGTTTCACATACAAGTTCTGCTGCCGAGCGACCGAGGCCTTCATGGTCCGCTCGCTACACCGGTTTCGGTGAAAGCGGACCTGAGGCCCCAGCACCGGCCGCGCGGGCACAGCCCGCTGCTAGCTGGGGGTCCCCGCACGCACGCTCACGCCCACGGCTACGGGAGGAGACGCACGCTCGCCTGCGCGTCCCAACCCAACCCGGGCGGCTGAAGATGCAGACGAGCTGCTCGCTGCCTGCGCCACGGCCCTGGGGCCAGCAATCCTCCGCCCGAAACGCAAACGCCCACCCCGGCGCCCCTCCCCGGCCCCCGGCCCGAGCCCCGGCGCGCGACCGGCCTCCCCCGCGCGGCTCGCGGCCCGCAGGCCCCCGGCCCGCAGCTCGGCCGCCGCGGTGGCGCTGAGGTAATCCCGGTAGGCGGCCGCCCGCAGGCCCCAGCGACGACGCCGGGCGACCCAAGGCGGAGGGCGGGCTTCGTACCTTGGCCATGTCCTCTGCTGTGAATCCTCATGGCTCCCGAGTTCATGGCAGCCGCCCGGCGCCTACATGCTGCGTCCGGAGAGGGTGCCCCGCCGGGCGGCCGCGGAAACACGGCTTCTCCGGGACACGACGGCCCAGGTACAGGCGCCGGCCCAGTTTCCGGGGCCGGATCCGGCTTCCGAGGCGCGGAGGAAGAAGGATCCCAGCACAGCCGAGGGGGCTGCGGCGGTTGAAGATTTGAAAACGCGTCACGCGGCCGCGGCGCCTATACGCGCGCCCCGCCCCTCTCCCGCCGAGCGCCGCGCCCCGCCCCGTGCCGGCTGCACGTGCCCGCCTCCTCGCGCCGCGCTCCCCGCCCCGCCTCAGGCCCGCCCCCTGGAGCCTCCTCGGCCTCGCGCCTCGCCCTGCCCTGCCTCGGCCCCGCCTCTGGAGCCAAGCGCCCCGCCCCCCGCACGCCCCTCCTCGCGCCTCGCCCCGCCCTGCCGCGAGCCCCGCCCCTCGCGCCTCGCCCCGCCCCTCGCGCCCCGCCCCGCCCCCTCGCGCCGCTCTGCCCCGCCCCCTCTGCGATGCCCTCTGCACCCCAGACCCCGGGTCGGCGCGCCGCGCGTCAGCGTGTCGCCCCGCTCCGATGAGTCGGTGGGACAGCTGTGTGGCCGAGGCTAGTGGACGCAGCAGCCCACCAGGCCGGCCGCCTGCCGTCGGGGTCACTGCGCCCTTGCGGTCTCCCCGGAGCTCCGGCCCCCAGCCGCCCTCCCCAGGTACGCCAGTTTCCAGCGGTCGGACGTCCGGGAGGCTGCGGCCGGGCGGGGCCGGGCGAGGGCGGCAGCGGCGGCCGCAGCCCCTGCCCTGGGCGCGCTTTCCCGCAGCCCCCGCCGACCCTCGGGCTGCAGCCAGGCCGCCGCGGGAGTTCCGGGGGGCGCCGGCAGCCCCCGGCCCCGAGGCGGGTGCCCGAGCGCGGCCCCGCGGAGCTGCGTCCGCCCTACTGGGCGTAAAATGGGGATAAAGACGGGAAGGGAGAGTGGCCGCTCCGGGGGGAGCGGGATTGTGGCGGGCGGCGACCGGAGACACGTTCCCGTTTTCTGTGTCCATGCCCCAGAAGCAGTTGGGGATGCGGTTCCGCTCGTGGGGAAGAGGACTGTGTTTCCTCCGAGTTTGCGCTCCTTCGCTCTTGGCCCCGAAAGGCAGCCGTGCTGTGGCCGGTGGCGGATAGCCGCCCTCGAGCCCAGGCTGGGCGGGCGGGACTCGATCCGTGCGCGCAGAGTCAAGGACCCTTCCGGACGGTCTAGGCTGACGGCCGGGGGCGGCCGGCGCAGCCCCCCGGGAGACAGCTGGGGTATTTGCGAGCCAGTGGGCGTCGCTGGGAGAGGAAACGCAGGTGGATTTGAGACTTCGGGCTGACAGCCCGCAGGCCTAGGGGCGTGCCTGCAGCAGAGGTGAACAGGTGTGGCTTGGCCATCCATCTAATTGCTTTTGACAGAACCTATTTTAAAGTATAAACTGCCGAAACAGTGCAAGGTTTTCAGTGTTTTCAGAAGGGTTTAAAAGATAGAGAAGCATCAGTTGCAGAGAGACTGTAGTAATAGTCATGGGAGCGTGATGAGCGGGAAAGCGATGGAAAAGAGGGCCGCAGAACTGGGAAGGGAACTGGAAGTAAACGTTTAAGGTCAAAAGTCACAGAATTGCAGATATTGGAATCTTAATGAGCTTCTCTGTACGGCTTTGGGTAATTTTGAGCAATTTTAATCTGTGAAAAGGGAGTTATAGATATTTCTCAGAGCTGTTGTGAAGATAAAATGGAACATTTTTGAAAGCTTTATTAATGTGTGCGTGGCATAGAGTAACAGCTCAGCGGTTGCTCTTTCTGGTGAACTCTACACCACTTCCTCCATCCCAAAGTTTTAAAAAGACTAAGACTTGGAAAATAGGCCTTTAATTTTGTTAAGTTCTGTGGATGGCAGAGATAAGTACTAGATAGAAATGATGAACTTGAAGTTGACAAGTTGAACATACTGTTTAAAAAATTTTGTCAGTGTATAAGAAAATTGCACGTTTGGAGGATTTAGAAGAAATGGGACAGATTTAAGCATGCTTCTATTGAAACAAGCAAGTCTGTCTTATGCCATAGATATGTTTCTTATTTAATATAATGAGGCAGAACAGTAACGTAATTCAATACTTAACTCTGCCACACTCTCACCTGACTGCATAATTCCTTGTTGTGAATAAGCAGAACATTTGCTTATTTTTCTGATCTGTCATCCAAGGTTAACTTTTTAAAACGTTATTGGAGCCCAGATATTTCAGTAGCTGCAGCAGGAAGGATTTGGTTGTGAATCCATGACCAATGAGGATGGAAACCTCTTTACCTATCATGTCAATAGTCAGATCTATTGGTAAGAGAATGATTATGTTAAGGTAGATCTTAAAAACATGCTTAAACAGAGTCATTTAAATGAAGGGTATTCATTCAAGAAGAATTTAATGGGGGCAGGGTTGTCTGTAGTTACAAGCTTTGGTAGAGAGTTCTGTTGAACAAAATTGAAGAACATCAGCAGAATTTTAGCCTAATTAAATGAACATTTGGCTGTGAATCAAGAGAAATGAATGTGGTACTAAGCCCTGTCCCTAAGAAATTTTATGACCGTGGGCAAATATTAACCCTTCCTATTCTAGAGTTTTCTATAAATGAAGATAATCTCTGATTAGTCTACTCTACAGCTTGTGGTGATTATCAAATGAGACCTAATATTTTTCAGGGCACCTCATGCATATCAAAATACAAATTTTGGGGATGGCTCTGTGGCACAGTGGGTTACAGCCCTGGCCTGAAGCGCCGGCATCCCATGTGGGCACTGGTTCTAGTCCTGGCTGCTCCTCTTCCAATCCAGCTCTCTGCTATGGCCTGGGAGAGCAGTAGAAGATGGCCCAAGTCCTTGGGCCCCTGCACCCACACGGGAGACCTGGAAGAGGCTCCTGGCTTCGGATTGGCACAATCCCGGCTTTTAACCATCTGGGGAGTAAACCAGTGGATAGAAGACCTCTCTCTCTCTGTCTCTACCTCTCTCTGTAACCCTGTCTTTCAAATAAATAAAAAATAAATCTTTAAAAATAAATAAATATAAATTTCATATTTTAGAATCTAGACATATTAGCTCTGTAATTCTTTTTACTTTGCTCTTTTGTAAAAACCCTGCCACCTGGCTAATAACTTTCTATCTATGGCAACCTAGCTTAGTCTTTATCTCCTGCTTCTTTGAGACCTTCAGTAATAATTATTACTGTTTGACTCTTGTGATATGTTGGTTTTTCTGAGGCTAAATTCTTAGTTCTGCAGGCTACGCATGTGAGAGTGTGGTATTAGTCAGTGGCTGTGGCACTGAAGTTGCTGTCTTAGGTGAGGGTGGGCTGGCAAACCAGGGTACATTCAGCATTATCTGTTCCTTGAACACAACCTAAATGGAATATCAAAAATGGAAATACTCCTAACTCTCCCATGCAGGTGAGAGGGACACAAATATGTGAGCCATTACCTGCTGCCTCCCAGGGTGTGCATTAGCTGGAAGCTAGAATTGGAAGGGAAGCTGGAACTGAAACCCAGTCACTCCAATCTAGGTTGCAGTTGTCCCAAGCAGTGTCTTAAACTGCTGTCCCAAACGCTCACCCTGCAATGAGGTTCTTTATTGGTCGTATCTGTTCAGGATCTTGTGGACCTCCTGTACCTTCATGTCCCAGTCTTTCTCAGGATGGGGATATTTTCAGCTATTATTTATTGAATAGATTTCTGTAACTTACTCCTCTCTTTGCCCTCAGGAATCCCCACAACTCAGATATTTGTCATTTAATGGGACTTCAGTGGCCTCCGAGACTGTCTCTTCTTTGTTGCTTGTATTCCTCTTTTTTTTGTTGTTGTTCTTACCTAGGTTTCAAATGATGAGTCTTTACTATAGGTTTTCTTTCTTTTGCATGATCTCTTGTTGAGGTTTTGAATTTTTTATCAGGCACTACGTCAATCTCCTTTTCTTTGGATACTGACAAACCATTGTTGTCTTCATGTGGAAGCATCAGCTTATCATTTTCATAGCTCTTATATCCCTATGTTAATATTTGCATATCTAGCAGATCAGTTGTTTCTATCACTTTTAATGAGTGGCTTTCATGGTAAATGCCTTTGTTCTGAAGATGTGTTTTTGGGTGTCATCTTGGCAGGCTATTTTGGCTTTAATTCCAGTTTGGTGATTCAGTGTAGTGTCCATATGTCTTCCACAGCAGTCTGTGTAGCAATAGGAGGTATGGGCCACTCCTCTCATTCCTGTCAAGACCACATAGGTCTCAGCAGCAGCCTGGAGGGCGGGATATAAGATCACTTGCTCTCAGTCCATCGTGAGTATTGTCACCAGAATGCAGACCTGGAGTCCACCAAAGTTTACTCAGATATGCTTGTTGGCAGGGACATGGCTGGAGTCATGGTAACACCTGTCCAAAGTCCACCAGGGATGCACTGGTCCCTGCATTCCTAAGCGCTAGGTAACGTCTTCATGCCCACCTACCTGTTCCTTCAAGCAGAAAATTAGTCCCAGTGTTATGCTCCCTAGTGTATGAAGAGGAATGAAATGAGCAGTCCTATGACTACCTTCCTTTAATTCCAGGTCACACGCAGATCCACAGTCCACCAAGATGAGCACAGCATGATTTGGGCCCATGCCCACTTTGCTATTGGACTGCCTGTAACCCAAGGTTGGGACAACTAACCGTGGGTTACGCAGCTCAGAATATAAGTCCAATTGAATTGTGCCATGGGTCTCCCCCTGGGACTGTGACAGGTCCAGAAGCTCTACCCATAGACAGTGGCCTCGGGACAAGAATCTTTAGCGTCTGCCTTGTAGTGGTTTTACCAGTTCCAAGATGCACTCTTGTGATCACTGGGCTCCTTGGGGCTAAGGGAGAGATGACAAAGCAATTCTTTGCTGAATTCATGCCTTATTTAGTACATCTTCTCATTATACTAACACCAAGCACTTGGCTTCCCTAGCTCTTGCGAAGGTGACTTGGTACCTGAATAACTTCAAATTGTATCTCTGTGGGAGTTGATTGCCCGAAAGTCTTAACAACCGTTTTGTTCTATTCCTGTATTCATTTATTTATTTAAAAGATTTTATTTATTTATTTGAGAGGTAGAGTTACAGATAGTGAGAGGGAGAGTCATAGAGAAAAGTCTTCCAACACTAGTTCACTCCCCAAATGGCTGCAACTGCCAGAGCTTAGCCAATCTGAAGCCAGGAGCCTGGAGATTCTTCTGAGTCTCCCACATGGGTGCAGGGGCAAGCACTTGAAAGCACTTGCTTTCCCAGGCCATAGTTGAGAGCTGGCTCAGAGAGGAGCAGCCGGGACTAGAACCAGCACCCATATGGGATGCCAGCACCGCAGGCCGAGGATTAACCTACTGTGCCACAATTCCAGCTCCCTGTATTTATTTTTAAGGTATTGCAAACTATAGCTATCTTAACATTTTAGCTCTTGATACTTCAGAATGGATGTTTTTGAAAGAAAATACTGTACGTGTTTCTGCATAACGGCAGTACCATTATCTTAACAAACATTTTACTTCGACCTGAGAAAAATCAGAAAATAATAGCTAGAATATTACAACTTTTATTGTTTTCTGGTCTGTTATCTTGTTACTGTAGTTTCTAATTTTCCTGTGAATTGAAAGTTAGGTGTAAACCTTGTTTAGATTCAAATTAAAGGGTTTTATTTTTCCTCCAAGAAACATAGATGATGCCAGGTCTTTAATTTTGTGTTAACAAAATATAGTAGTCCCATTACAAATGATGCTCTGAATAACACTGTATTCAGGTTCTAAAGTTGTTTTTTTTTTTTTTTTAAAGCAGACTATATTAACTAGGATAGCATGAAGTGACTGTAATTCCTCAAGATACTTAATAGAAAGCATTTAATAAATATTTTTGGTTTATGTTTTGAAGTTTTTAGGCTGTTTTCCCTTAGACTTATTAACCCTTCCCTATATGAAAAGTGAGCTATTGTATTCTTTTTTTCATTACAGATTTTCAGCTACTGATGTTACAACCAATAAAATATTGGAGCATAGAGTTGAGGAAAAGACTTAAACCAGGTAGGTAGATATTACAAATCTAGAGAAACAATAAGACTACCATTCACTTTTATAAAGAACATAATTGATGCATTTGACACTGGAATTTCAACTATGGATATTGTATCAAAATTGTTTCCTGACTTTGGTAGATGTGATATGATTATAAAAGAGAATTTTCTTAAGTATATTGGATAAAGGGGCATTATTTGCAATGTTCAGAAGAAGTAAATTATATATAATGTGTGAGAGAATTTGTTGAAGTTGGGAATTGTTAGGAACTCATTCAGTAGCAGGGCAAGTATAAATTGGCCCAACCTTTCTGGAAAGGCTTTTGGCAATTTGTATCAAGTTTTTAAATAGTTTAGCCCAGCAACCTTACTTTTTCTCCTAAGGTAGTTGCAGAAATACTACAAAAAGATATATTTTAAGGTTATTTTATGTGACTTTTTTACAGTTCTAAAATTGGCAACAATTCAAATCTCTAACAATATGAGACTTTAAATAAATGTAAATACTATATAAGAATTAAAAAGGAGTAAATCTGTCATTATTGACACAATCTCTGTAAGTATTAAAGGAGGCTACTAAACAAACATGAATGGTGTTAACCTATTTTGTTTTTCCAAAAAGCTGTGTGTACACAGATATATGATTGTGCACACATACTTGATTTGTATATGCAGTTAGATGTAATCTGTGTTTGATACACACACATAAACACACACACACACACTTGAGGGTACCTCAGAAAGTTTGTGGGGAAATGGAATTAAAAGACAAGTGTATTTTGGGACCAAAAAATGAAATTCATGTGTAGTTTTTTTCAAAATATTCATTTTCCATCAACTTTTTGAAGACCCCTGATGTGCATGGATTTCAAAATTTTTGCACCAAAATAACATATGTTTTAATTCCATTTTCCTTTAACTTTTCAAGTTCCCACACACATATTTTTATATGTATTTATACACATAATCTTTGTATATATATGAGATACAGTGTGAGTATATACAGCATACATTGCATGCATCGTTTATGTACTTAGACATTTACAAAGATGATCCTGTCTGTATGTTGCAGTTGATTATTTCTAAACAATGACACTGCAGGTGATTTTTATACTTTTTTATTATCTGACTTTCAGAAAAGAGCATACATTGCTTTTCTCGTCGATTGTTTTAAGATACTGCTGCTTGTTAAGACTTTGTGTTTTTATCTTATCTTACACCTATGCCATAACTTTTGGTATGCAGTAAAAGTAGTGCTGTGTTTGCCAATGTTCTCTACTAGATTGGAGAAGGTATCCTACTAATGTTTAAATTCAGATTCTGTGACTTGTTGGTCAGCCACTTTGATTCTGTTCTGAGGTCAGGGTCTGTTTCCTGAATCGTCTCACCAGTGTGATGCTGCCCACACAGCTTTACTGAAGTACATTACCATTTTGGGAATATCAAATAATGTGTTCCAGTAATGGCAACTGTGTGGTACTTTTGTGGGTAGAACTTACAGATTTACTTCTAGGAGTGGCAAAAGTGCTCACTTTGATATAAGTTCTGGCTGTTGTTTTTATAGTTTATTTGATTTTTAGCAATTAATTTTTCTGTTAAACTTATTTCTTACTTTTCTTTAACAGGTTTTTCTTCAGTTAGTTAAAAATATGGATCCTGAGAAAAGGGAGCCACAGACCATCAAAGTGACACCTCTTCAGCAAATGCTTGCCTCCTGCACAGGAGCTATACTGACGTCATTAATGGGTAAAAAAATTTTTTAAAGATGTGTTTATTTATTTGAAAATCAGAGTTACACAGAGAGAGAAGAGGCAGAGAGAGAGAAGGAGAGGTCTTTCATCCGTTGGTTCACTCCCCAATTGGCCGCAACAACCAGAGCTGGGCCAATCTGAAGCCAGGAGCCAGGAGCATTTCCGTGTCTCCCATTTGGGTGTAGGGGCCCAAGGACTTGGGCCATCTTCTACTGCTTTCCCAGGCCATAGCAGAAAGCTGGATCGGAAGTAGAGCAGCCGGGTCTCAAACCCACGTCCATATGGGATGCCATTGCTTTAGGCTAGGGCGTTAACCCGCTGCACCACAGCGCAGGCCCCAAATGGGTAAAATTTTTAATGTAGATTTTATAACCTTGGGTGTGTCAGTGTATCCATTTGAATTTTACTATCTCTGAAGTATTACACATCTTTTGTGAATACTAATATTCTTTCATCAGCATGATAATATGAAAAGAACCTTGGATAGAGAATCAGGAGACTTAAATTTTAATCCTTGCTGAGCCATTTTCAGGGTGAATGCAGCTGGGGATAGTACCTACTTCTCTCTAGACTTCATTTTCTCATCTGTAAAATTAGAATAGGAGTTTTTTGAGGTTCCTATCAGCATTAAATTTTATGACTATTATCTGTTTTTTAAAGTAGAAGATGAAATAAAACATTGACATTAAATAACAGACTTGACAGTTTATAGTAACAACCAATATAAATTTAAAAGTTGCTTGCATTACTAGTGAATTTCTTTTTTTTCTTTTTCTTTTTTTTTTTTTTTTTTACAAGCAGAGTGGATAGTGAGAGAGAGAGACAGAGAGAAAGGTCTTCCTTTTTGCCATTGGTTCACCCTCCAATGGCCGCCACGGCTGGCGCGCTGTGGCCGGCGCACCACGCTGATCCGAAGGCAGGAGCCAGGTGCTTCTCCTGGTCTCCCATGGGGTGCAGGGTCCAAGCACTTGGGCCATCCTCCACTGCCTTGCTGGGCCACAGCAGAGAGCTGGCCTGAAAGTGGGGCAACCGGGACAGAATCCGGCGCCCCGACCGGGACTAGAACCCGGTGTGCCAGTGCCGCTAGGTGGAGGATTAGCCTAGTGAGCCGTGGCGCTGGCCACTAGTGAATTTCTTAAATTTCTCTGGATCACATTTTTTTATTTTATTTTAGAGTTTGTTATAGACTTAGCCAAATAACATAGTTAGGTGATAATTTAGCATTCTAATTTGGCTCATTTATTTAAATAAGTTAACCATTGATTAGAACAAACTAATTGCTTTGTGATGTAGTATATTCAGGTCAGAATTTTAGAGCTGTCAGGCCTTAGGAATCATCTAATGTTACTTCCCTTTTTTCAGGTGAAACCTTTTCTTGGAACTACTGTTTATGGCACTTTTCTTTAATGTGAATAAAATATTGTATGTCAATTAAGTCCATTTTCCTTTGCTAGGTTCTACTAAATGGAATGAAACAGCTTGATGTTAAAGATGATTTATGGCTACGTAACTCAGATTTTCTTTTTGTATTTTTATAGAGGTGAATTTAAAAGATTAAATACATTAATTTTGTTTTATTACTAATTATAATATAAAATTATTCTGAAATATTTAAATAGACTTCTGGAACTTTTTATTCCCTACTTTACAGAACACCTTATAAATACTAGTATTTTAATTTTAGTGCTAATGGAATTATAGCTGAAGATATATGTAGTACAAGTATTATTACAGAAGCAATTATAGTCTTTCTTTTTCACTGATCCTCTTTAAGTAAAATTCAAAGGCAAAAAAATTAGAATGTTACATTCAAGACAAAGACAAATAAATTTAACTATTACATAGTCGTAAGGAAAAGTATGAATTGATACATTTTGTATTTGGAAGGTTGTACAATTTGTAGGTATCACTTGCTAATTGCAATTTATGTTTCTTTTTAGTGACTCCCCTGGATGTTGTTAAAATTCGACTTCAAGCCCAAAACAACCCATTCCCCAAAGGTATGTATACTAAGTTTCCTGAAAATGTTATGTTAGACTTTTCAAAATGTTGTTGCATGTGGTTTTGTTTGCATAGTTATCTTTTTGTTAATTTGTTGAAATTTATACCTTTTTATCCTCATGCAGGAACATTTTCACCATTTAGTTGTACATGATGAGGTATAGGCAGAAAACAAAAAAACACATATAAAACTTTTATGAACCTACTAATTAAAGCAGAGGACTGTAATATATATGGATATGTGCCTCACAGGTAAGAACATAATTATTCTTTTAAGGGACCTTAGACTCTAGCTTCTTCCATCATTCATGAGTTAAACCCATTCTGGAGTATTCATGACAATCATTCAATGGTTGCTTTAATATATTGATTGAGAATTCACCAGACAGCTTGCTTAATTGGTCTGTAATTTTTCTGGAATTTGAGACAAATAATTATGTATTAGTGTAAGAGGCAAAAGTGATAATCCCTTAATCTTTTAATGCTATTAGCATTTCAGACATATAAATAGAAGAAAATAGACTAGACTGAGAAAATTGGCTCAGATATAAATGCTTCTCAGCCGAATACATAACTGTGAGATAAAATTTATAGCTACTGTATTTCAGATGAATAGAAGGATAGATGATTGTAGGAAGAGGCTAGAAAGATGTTTCCTATAAATTAAAGAAAGCCTTAAAAGCAGGAAACACTGACACTTATTTATAAAGGGTGTTTTTAAAGTGTTTGTTGGAAAATGGAATTTTAAAATGAGTTTATTTTGGTGAAAAAAAATTTGAAATAGTATATACAAAAGTTTTTCAAAAAGTTCATGAAAAGTGCTTATCATGAAAAAGCTATGCATAAGTATCCATATTTTTTGCACCAAAGACAACTTTTCATTCTATTCCCTCTGTGTGTGAAGCTCACAGAATTATATGCAGTGAAACAGAGTAAACCATTTTGGTAGCAAGAAGAATCTTGTAAATGGAAAGGAGTTGATTCTCCTGAAAGTTGTAGTAAATTAGGCAGAGACTGACAAATAATGATTAGAGCAAGCAGCACAAATACAGAGTAGGGGAGAAAGTATAACATTATCTACATTGATGAGAACATTTTTTCTTCACAATCTTTTTTTTTAAGATTCATTTTTATTTATTTGAAAGACAGAGTTACAGGTAGAGACAGAGAGAAAAAAGTCTTGCATCAGCTGGTTCACACCCTAAATGGTGGCAAAGGCTGGAGCTGAGCTGATTTGAAGCCAGGAGCCAGGAGCTTCTTCCAGGTCTCTCACGTAGGAGCAGGGGCCCAAGTACTTGTACTGTTCTCCACTTCTCTCCCAGGTGTGTTAGCAGGGAGCTGGATCAGAAGTGGAGAGTTGGAACTTGAACTGGTGCTCATATAGCTTGTGGGCGCTGCTGGCCAGGGCTTCAACCTGCTGTGCCACAGTGCCAGCCCCTCATATTCTATTTTAGTCTCCGTTTCCTTTGCATACCACCTAGTTTTCTTCTGGAGAAATTGAGAAGACATACATCCATATTCTCTTTTCACAACAGTCTCTCCTTTGTCTTATTTCTCCATTCCTTCAGATAATGGAAACAAATTTATTTGTATGTACATTTTCTTACTAAAGTTCTGAAAACAAAGTTCACTCATTTATTATTTTTACAATTGTAAGTTTAGAGCCCAGCGCTGTATCATTAAGCAAATCAAATTCTGTTACATCTTAGAAAATAGAGATATTTTTCTTTTTCAGTGTTATTCCTTTTCTCATAAATTTCTAGCCCCCACATTGCACTTTCAATTTCCTCATCTGTAAAAATAATATAGTTATATGAAGCAGTTATTGACAGTTGGTGTCCTTTTTGTTAGGAAAATGTTTTGTGTATAGTAATGGACTCATGGATCATGTGTGTGTCTGTGAAGAGGGAGGCAGCAAAGCATGGTATAAGAAGCCAGGAAACTTCCGTGGTACATTGGTAAGAAGATTATATTTTTTAGAATCACTGTATATTTTGTTTTTACATTTAATTTTAAATATAAAATGTTTCTAATTGCAGGGAAGTAGTAAGTCCATCATTCTAAAGCAAGAAAAAGGAAATTCTTTGCTTTTTAAATCTGTTAATTCTTTTCATTGGTTCATACACTTTCTGTAAGAAAAGAGAGAGGCTAAGTTTTTTAAATTATACTTTTCTTTTTTTTACTTTGGCATAACTTTAGATCAAAAGTAATTTAAAGAAAAGCAGATCTCCTGTACCAAGTTTTCACAGTGGTAACATCTTATAAAACTAGTAAGATTTCACATCCAGGATATTGACATTAATACAGTTAATGTAAAGAATAATTCCATCACCACAAGGATCTTTCCTGTTCCCCTTTAATTTTTTGAAATAGTTTTATTTACTTATTTTCATTTTATTTGAAAAGCAGAAAGAGAACTTCAATTCCCTAGTTCACTACCTAGATGCCCATGGCAACCAGAGCTGGATCAAGCTGATGCCGAAAGCCAGGAAGTCAATCTGGGTCTTCCACGTGGCTGGCAAAGACTCAGATACTTGAGCCATCTTGGTTGCCTTCCCAGGGCGTGCATTAACAGGAAGCCAGATGAGAAGCAGAGTGACCAGGACTCCAGCCAGGTGCTCCAATAAAGATGCAAGCATTCCAAGCAGCAGCCTAACTGATACACCGCATGCCTGCTCCCCTATTTCTGTTTTAGAACTATACCTCTTTTCCTGTTCTGTCACCTACTTCTTAACCCCAAGAAAGTATTAATTTGTCCTCCTTTAAAAAAAAAATTTATTTATTTAGTTGAAAGGGAGAGGGGGAGGGGAAGGAGACATAGATCTTCCATCTGCTAGCTCACTCCCCAAATGGCCGCAGTGGCTGGAGCTGGCCCAGTCTGAAGCCAGAAACCAGGAGCTTCTTTCTTGTTCCCCATGTGGATGCAGGGGCCCAAGCACTTGGGCTTCTTCCATTGCCTTCCCAGGTGCTTTTAACAGGGAGCTGGACCGGATGCAGGTGTCACAGATGGCAGATTCATTCATACTGTTGGATAAACCAAGCATTTGTTCCTTTATATTGCTTAGTGGTATTCCATGCTGTGGGTATACCACAATTTGTTTTCAGGGTTGTTACCAGTTTTTGGCTGTTACAAATAAAGCTCCTACAAACATTCATTTATAGTTTTCTTTATGAAGTAATCTTCATTTCTGGAATAAAAGCCCTCAGGTACTACTGCTGAATGAGCAAGATAAGTTCCATGTTTAGCACTGAAGAAACTGCCAACCTGTCTTCTATACCGACTCTGCCGTTTTACATTCCCATCAGCTCTATGTGAGTGATCCAGTTTCTCTGCATCCTCACTAGAATTTAGTGTTGCCACTGCTGTTTTTAGTTTTATTTGTTTATTTGAGAGGCAGAGAGAGAGGTCTTCTGTCTGCCGCTTCAGTTTCCAAATGCCTAACAACATTCAGGGCTGGGGGATTCCCATGTGGGTGGCAGGAACCCAAGTGCTTGGGCCATCAGACGCTGCCTCCCAGGTGCATTAGCAGGAAGCTGGATTAGAAGCAGAGGTGTGACTCAGTCCGAAGTGCTCCAGGATCAGATGTGGATATTCCAAGCAGCTGCTTAACCCTCTGAGTCAGAAAACCTGCCTTTTTTCCTTTCTTTATTTCATTATTTTTTTTAAGAGATGTGTAGTGGTATCTTATTGTGTTTTAATTTGTATTTCTGAGGCCGACGCTGTGGCATAGCAGGTAAAGCCGATGCCTGCAGTGCCGGCATCCCATACGGGCACCAGTTCAGGTCTTGGCTGCTCCACTTCCAATCCAGCTGTCTGCTCTAGCCTGGGGAAGCAGTAGAAGATGGCCCAAGTCCTTGTAACTCTGACTTTCAAATAAATAAATAAATCTTAAAAAAATTTTATTTTTTTGAAGGCTAATGAAGTGGAACATCTTTTCAGCCATCAGTATATCCTCTGCAGGGAAATGGCTCTTTGCCAATATTCTGATTAAATTGATTGTATTTTTGCAGTTAGGTTTTGAGAATTCTTTGTTTATTATAGACACTAGTCCTTTGTTTTGGATGTGTGGTATGCAAATATTTTTTCCCGGTCTTTTTTTTTTTTTAAGATTTATTTATTTAATTTGAAAGTCACAGTTTGAGAGAGAAGAAGAGACAGAGAAAGAGATAGAGAGGTCCTCTGTCTGCCCATCACTCCCCAGATGGCTGCAATGGCCAGAGCTGTGCCAGTCTGAAGCCAGGAGCTTCCTCCAGGTCTCCCACACGGAAGCAGGAGCCCAGAGACTTGGGCCATCCTCCACTGCTTTCCCAGGCCATAGCAGAGAGCCAGATCGGAAGTAGAGCAGCTGGTTCTCAAATCAGTGCCCACATGGGATGGCGGTACTGCAGGCTGCGGCCTTACCCACTATGCCACAGCGCCGGCCCCTCCCCGTCTTGTCTGTTCATTTTCATAAGCATGGTCTTTCCTGGAGGACTTTTTAAAATTTTGATGAAATCCTGCTTATCAGTTTTTCTTTCTGGATCATGCTAAGGTCTCTAGAACAATTCTAAGAACTCTTTACTTACCTGAAGATTTCTTCCTAATATTTTTTCCTAGAAGTATTATAGCTTTACATTACTTTTAGGCCTTGATCTGTTATTTTTTTTATGAGATACAAAACTGAGATTGAGGCTTTGTGTTTGTTTGCTGTTGCTGTTGATGCCTGTGGCTGTTCATTTGCATTTATTGAAAGGCTATCTTTTTTCCACTAAGTTGCTTTTTGCACCTTTATCCAAAATCAGTGAGACGTATTGAGTGCATCTGTTTTAGGGTTCTCTGTTCTGTTCCATTTATATATATCTTTGGCTCTGTCAGTACCACACTGTTCTAACTGTAGCTTTGTTATAAGCATTATCTAAGTAGTAAAATAAGATACTTCCCACTTTATTCTTATGTTTCTTTTTCAAAGTTGTGTTACATATTCCTAAGGTTCTATTGTCTTTTCATATAAATTTTAGAATATTCCCATCTATATATACAAAAAGTCTTGCTGGAATTTCTATAGAGATTTCATTAAACCTATATATCAATTTAGGGAGAAATTGAATATACTGTGTTTTATCTATTCATAGTTCATAGATATTGGATTATATCCACTATTTTGAATGAATAATGCTATTAGGAACATTGATGTGTTTGTGTGAACTTGTGGTTTAATCTCTCGTGAATATATACCTAGAATTTGGAGTTACGTGGTCATACAGTAACTCTGTGTTTATCCTTTTGAGATCATGCCAGACTGTTTCTAAAGCGACTGCACCATCTTACAGACCTGTCAGTCACATATAAGGGTGGCATTTTCTCCACATGCTCACCAGTGCTTACCATTGTCTATCTTTCTATTTTAATTTACCTAGTGGATATGAAGTGATATCTCATTTTGGTTCTGCTTTGCATTTCCATAATGATCAATGTTGTTGAACATTTTTTATGTGCTTATTGGCCATTTGTGTTTTCTTTGGAGAAATATCCAGATCCTTTGCAAATTTTTGTTTTGTTTTACTCATTATTATCAAATTGTAGGATTTTGTCTGTTAACAGCAGACATCCCTTCAGCTTCTCCCTCCAGAGATTTCATGGTGGACTTTGGAAACATGTTCTCAAATTTTATGTTGAAGAGAATTTATCTGACCAATCACCTGTCATTTTGCTACCTCCTTTTTTATAATAATCTTTCAAAAGCTTTGTTTCTAAGCTGTAACTAGAACAATCCACCGCTGAGTAATATAGACTTTATTCTCTAAGTAGTATCATCCAGTCATGCTTCATTTTATTTGCAGTTTTAAAAGAATGGACGTACATAAATCCAAGAAAGTCATTTTAGAAATAAATGTTTGAATCAAATTACCAATACTTACAACTGTAAATGTTTGTGTATCTGGATTAAGGATACATTTTGACTACTTTTTTATTGTAATTTCAGGATGCCTTTTTAAAAATCGTTCGAAATGAGGGCATTAAATCCCTGTGGAGTGGTCTTCCCCCTACCCTGTAAGTTGAAATTTAATATTTTTCCTACTAAATGATTGTTTTTTTGTGTTTTTAAAGATTTATTTATTTATTTGAAAGTCAGAGTTAAAGAGAGAGATCTTCCATCCTCTTGTTCACTCTTCACATGGCCACAACAGCCAGCATTGCACCAGGCCAAAACCAGGGGTTTCATCCTGCTTTCTCACAAAGGTGGCAGGGAGCCCAAATGCTGGGCCATCTTCTGCTGCTTCCCCAGATGCATTAGCAGGGAGTTGGATCAAAAGTGTCGCAGTTAGAGGCTGGCGTCTTGATATACTGGGTAAAGCCACTTCCCATAATGCAGGCATCCCATGTGGATGCCATTTCTAGTCCCGGCTACTGCTCCACTTCTGATCCAGCTCCCTACTAATGTTCCTAGGAAAGCAGCTGAAGGTGGCCCAAGTGCTTGCGACCCTGCATCAATGTGGAGGACAGGAAGAAGCTCCTGGCTCCCGGCTTCAGCCTGCCCAGCCTTTACTATTGTAGCCATTTGGGGAGTGAACAGCAGGTCGAACATCTCTCTGTCTCTCCCTCTCTCCCTTTAACTCTACCTTTCAAATAAATTTTTAAAAAGAAAAAAAAAAAGAATAAAATGAAAGGAAGTAGAGCAGTCAGGACTCAAACCAATACTCACATGGGATGCTGGCATTGCAACCAGTGGCTTACACCCACTGTACCACAATTTCAGCCCCAGTACAAATGATGTTTCATATAAAAGAAAAAATAATCTTATAGGTTGATTTGTTGTGGTTTTAGCTTAAAATGTTTTTTAAGGGAGAAGGGCAGGCATTTGGCCTAGTGGTTAAGATGTTGGTTGTTACACTTGCGTTCCAGCTCTTGACTGCAGATTGCTACTAGATGTGCATGCTGCAGGCAGGGAGAGTGGGTTTTGGGATCGGCAGCAACTGATGTCTAAAGAATTGGGGTCATAGGGCCGGCGTGTGGCTTAGCTAGTAAAACTACCACCTGCAGTGCCAGCATCCCATATGGTTGCCAATTTGAGTCCCAGCTGCTCTACTTCCAATCCAACTCTCTGCTATGGCCTGGGAAAGCAGTAGAAGATGGCCCAAATCCTTGGGCACCTGCACCCAGGTGAGAGACCCAGAAGAAGCTCCTGGCTCTTGGCTTCAGATTGGCACAGCTCTGGCCATTGTGGCCAATTGGGGAGTGAACCAGCAGATGGAAGACCTTCCTCTCTGCTCTTCCTTCTCTCTGTGTAACTCTGACTTTCAAATAAATAAATCTTTAAAAAAAAAAAAAAAGTTGGATCCCTGCTCCCAGGTGAGTTCCCAGCTCCAGCCTGAGCTTAGCTGTTGTGGGTTTTGGGGAGTGAATCAGTGGATGGGAGCTCCATCTACTCTGTCTCTTCTGACTGTGTCTCTCCCTCTATCTTTTTCTCTCTAATAATAATAATAACATGGACTTTTTAGATTATGTAATAAAAATAATTCAAATTTAGGAGTATGTTAACATAATTCTGAACAAATCTTGTTTCTAACAAGATTGTATGTTTCTAACAGAGTAATGGCAGTTCCTGCTACAGTTATTTATTTTACCTGCTATGATCAATTATCTGCTCTTTTGAAATCTAAACTAGGAGAAAATGAAACCTCCATACCAATTTTTGCTGGAATTGTGGCCCGATGTAAGTAATAAATTTTTGTTTTCATTTTTATTTCTTTTCAGAGCATCTTTTTAAATTTTGACATTCATGGAGAATTTGTATAATAAACAAAGTGTTATTAAAATATATTATGCATGATAGTTTTTAGAGTTTGTTAATATCTATCCTTAAGAAGTCACATGGTATGGTGACTACTGTCAGAATGAGTACCAATTACTCCATTTGGTTGATGCTTAGAGCTTTTAGAATGACATCCAAAAATGGTTCTGAATTACCTGAGCTTTCAAAATGTCACTTGGCACCATTTTTAGGACAAAGTTCTCAATTACTTTCCTTATGAACTTTGGGATTCAGAGTTTATTCAGAAGGAAATTTGCCTCTATTTGTAGTGAAATGTTTTTCTAAAATGATATATTTTGGGGTGTTAACTGAAATAAATTTTTGTAATAGTTAATATGATTGTAACATTTCTGGAACTGTCCTCAAAAGAGCCAGTATGTTGAAATCATTAGATACTGTGTCCAAAATTAAAGTTTATCATAAAATACATTAAATACTCATTTTTACTCTATGTATTTGCACCGTACATGGTTTTATTTTGTTTTGTTTTGTTTTCTTGTATTAGTTGGTGCAGTAACCGTGATAAGTCCATTAGAATTGATTAGAACCAAGATGCAGTCTAAGAAGTTTTCTTACAAGGAATTGCATCAGTTTGTCAGCAAGAAAGTGTCTGAGGATGGCTGGATTTCCCTTTGGAGGGGCTGGTTTCCTACTGTTCTTAGAGATGTTCCTTTCTCAGGTAGGATATATCTTACTAGTGTCTGATAAACTTTAAGTAGCTTTGTCTTATGCATTTCCTGTTTTCACTGAATGTAAGTCCTATCCTGCTAGAAGTTGTCTTCTGAAGTGACAATCAACTCCGGCTTCATTGTTGGGCTCTCAGATCGTTACAAGCCTCTATTGAATGAAAAGTTTCTATGAGCCTGGTGTTCTTTTCTCCTTGTCTTTAATTTCCTTTTGAATAATTGTGTATTCATATTCACAGAATGTAAGCTACCTTTAACATTATTCTAACAGATCACAGTTAGGAAGGTAAATAAAAAGAGTAAAAATCAGGATTTTATAAAATCAATTTAAGATCACCTTTGAATTCTATGAACTGCTGTTTTTTCAGTTATTAAAAATACACATTTCATCATTAAGTTTGCATACTGTGAGAGTATCATTAATCATATTGGTGGTTGTGTTAATCATTAAATTACAAATTGAAAGTCATGAAAAGTAAGAAGTGCAAATCTAACAAAACTTATAGAATGTGCATATTTTAGTGTTATTTCTCTTGCAAATTAGGGACCTAAAATAAAATAAATAGTTACTGAGAACTTGTGTATTAATAATACTGTTTCTTTTCTCCCTTTTGCTGATCCTTTTTTGTGGTTTCTTATCCATAGTGTATCTTTCTCTTTCTGTTAGTATTTTTCTGAAGTCTTTTGTGGTGTTACACTGTTTAGAAACATGTAATTAAATCATGTTCCCACTAAAAAGGCCTTCTAATCCTTTCTCCCTCTCCATGCCTTCAGGAACTCCTAGAACCCAAATGCTTGATTTTTTAATAGTTTCTTGTAGATTCCCGACAATATTTTTTAGATTTCTAATTTCCTCTTCTTTTCTTTGGTTTGACTGTATACTTTCCTGTTCTCTGTCTTCTAAGTCCGATATTCTCTCTTCTGCTTCACCCATTCTGTTTTTAAGGCTCTCTAATGTGTTTGTCATTTGATCTATTGAATTCTTCATTATGATTTCTCATGACTATCACAGTTTCATGTTCTACTAGTTGTTTCATTTCATTTTGATTCCTCCTTAATATTTCATTTTCGCAAGAGAGATTTTCTATCTTGTCCATTAAGGATTTCTGTAGTTCAAGAATTTGTTTTTGGCCGGCGCCGCGGCTCACTAGGCTAATCCTCCGCCTTGCGGCGCCGGCACACCGGGTTCTAGTCCCGGTCGGGGCGCCTGATTCTGTCCCAGTTGCCCCTCTTCCAGGCCAGCTTTCTGCTGTGGCCCGGGAGTGCAGTGGAGGATGGCCCAAGTCCTTGGGCCCTGCACCCCATGGGAGACCAGGATAAGTACCTGGCTCCTGCCATCTGATCAGCTTGGTGCGCTGGCCACAGCGGCCATTGGATGGTGAACCAACGGCAAAGGAAGACCTTTCTCTCTGTCTCTCTCTCTCACTGTCCACTCTGCCTGTCAAAAAAATTTAAAAAATAAATAAAAAATAATTTGTTTTTGAGAACTTCTTAATGTTCTTATCAAATTTTTGAGATCCACTTCTTGCATTTCTTCTATCTCATCATCTTCATAATCTTGAATTGGGGTGTCTTTTTCATTTGGGGGCAACATAGTGTCTTCCTTGTTCTTGTTACCTCGGTTTCTGCGTTTGTTTGGCATTGTGGAGATATTCTTTGGTTTCTTTGCTGTGGTGCTTTTTCTCATTATACTGTGACTCTAGATTAAGTGGACTGTCTGCTTTTGATGGATCCTTAGAGGCTGTGATGGGTGTGGCCAGAGAGCTCTGTTTGGTTCTTCAGGGTTAAGGGTGTGCCAAAGGTGACTTACCCAGATTGTTCTCTTGCTCGCTCGCGCTCTCTCTCTCTTTTTTTTTTTTTTTTTGACTCAGTTGGGAAGTAATTCCGCACAGCTGAGTGGAATTGAGGGTAGTTGATGTATGAAATCTGGCCCCTGTGGGTATTCATCTGCTCTACCCCTGGGACCACACAAAGAGTTTATGCAGCCCTCAGTGTGGTCTCAAATTTCTCCTCAGTCTCTCACTGGGTTGCCAAGGTTACCAAGTTTGTGTACTCCGTGAGTTATCTCGCCCCCCCCCCCTCAGATTTTCACAATCTCAGTTCGTTAGCTCCACACTTTCACTAGGTCCTAACCTCCTGTTATTTCTCCTCACCAGAGTCAGGTTTTTCTGCTTGGCTGATGCCGGGCGCCGCTTTACGTATGTTCAAAATGGCGCCTGCTCTTTTTCTTGCTCAGCTTTTTAAGGTGAGTGGAGAGAGAGGCTAGTGTCCGTGCCAGTTCCCCTTATTTATTCATTTTTTTCTCTCCTCCAGTCAGCCTGGTGAACTTTCCCCAGTGGGGCTTCAAGCCTCGTTCCTTCTATGCTCTTTCTGCCTTTCCCAGCCAATTTCTCGGGTTACCGAGGGCGCAGACTCTGTGGCTGGGCTTCCACGTGGTGGGCGACCTTGCTTTCCCTGTAGGTACTCCGTGTCACATCCACTAGATCCGGAAGAGTTTCCTCTGCAATTTTTTCCTGAGCCATTTCCTGAGGCTACAGTAACTCCACTTTTATTGAACTATCTTTTCCTGGACTATTGGTGCACGCCCTCACTATTCCGCCATCTTGGCTCCCAGGTTTGGAGAAGGACAGAGACATCCAAGTACAGGAAGCTCACAGAACCCCTAATAATCATGACCAAAAGAGATCCTCACCACGACACGTCGTAATTAAACTCACCACAGTGAAACATAAAGAAAAGGTCCTAAAATGTGCAAGAGAGAAACGTCAGATTACTCTCAGAGGATCTCCAATCAGACTCACAGCTGACTTCTCATCAGAAACCCTACAAGCTAGGAGGGAATGGCGAGATATAGCCCAGGTACTAAGAGAGAAAAACTTCCAGCCCAGAATATTATATCCTGCAAAGCTCTCATTTGTGAATCAAGGTGAAATAAAGACCTTTCATGGCAAACAGAAATTGAAAGAATTTGTCGCCACTTGTCCAGCCCTGCAAAAGATGCTTAAAGATGTGTTACACACAGAAACACGGCCATCAATATGAAAGAAGGTAAAGGAAGGAAACCTCACAGCAAAAGATCACAGGAAGTTCAAAACATATATTAGAAAATATCTTTGGTAAATGGCAGGGCAAAGTTACTACTTATCAATAGTCACATTGAACGTTAATGGCCTGAACTGTCCAGTTAAAAGACACAGATTGGCTGATTGGGTTAAGGAACAAAATCCTTGTATTTGCTGCTTACAAGAAACACATCTTTCCAACAAAGATACATACAGACTGAAAGTGAAAGGCTGGAAAAAGATATACCATGCCAACAGAAATGAAAAAAGAGCGGGTGTAGCCATCTTAATATCGTACGACAGAAACTTTTTTTTTTTCCACAGGCAGAGAGGACAGTGAGAGAGACAGAGAGAAAGGTCTTCCTTCTGCCGTTGGTTCACCCTCCAATGGCCACTGCGGCCAGCGCACTGCGGCTGGTGCAACGCGCTGATCCAAAGGCAGGAGCCAGGTACTTATCCTGGTCTCCCATGGGGTGCAGGGCCCAAGCACTTGGGCCATCCTCCACTGCACTCCAAGGCCATAGCAGAGAGCTGGCCTGGAAGAAGGGCAACTGGGACAGAATCAGGCGCCCCGACCGGGACTAGAACCTGGTGTGTCGGCGCCGCTAGGTGGAGGATTAGCTGATTGAGCCACAGTGCCGGCCTGCACAACATAAACTTTAACACAAAAACTGTTAAGAGAGACAAAGAGGGGCACTATATAATCATTAAGGGATCAATTCAACAGGAAGATATAATGATTATCAATGTATATGCACCTAATTACAGGGTACCAGTTTATTTAAAAGATTTGTTAAGGGATTTAAAGGGAGACTTAGACCCCAATAAAATAGTACTGTGTGACTTCAATACTCCACTCTCAGAAATAGACATCAACAGGACAGAAGATTAACAAGCAGACTGTAGATTTAAATGACAGTATAGCCCAAATGGATCTAACAGATATCTACAGAACTTTTCATCCTACACATAAAGCATTTACATTCTTAGCAGCACATGGAACCTTCTCTAGGATTGACCACATACTAGGCCATAAAGCAAGTCTCAGCAAATTCAAAAGAATTAGAATCATACCCTGCAGCTTCTCAGACCACAGCAGAATGAAGGTGCAAATTAGTAACTCAGGAATCGCTAGAGCATATGCAAACACATGGAGATTGAACAACATGCTCCTGAATGAACAATGGGTCATAGAAGAAATTAAAAGAGAAATCAAAAATTTTCTGGAAGTAAATGAGGATAACAGCACAACTTACCAGAACTTATGCGATACAGCAAAAGCAGTGTTAAGAGGAAAGTTTATATCAATAGGTGCCTACATCAAGAACTTGGAAAGGCACCAAATAGAAGAGCTTTCAATTCATCTCAAGGATCTAGAAAATCTGCAGCAAACCAGACCCAAATCTAGTAGGAGAAGAGAAATAATTAAAATAAGAAGAAATCAACAGGGTTGAATGCAAAAAAAAATTACAAAAAATCAGCCTAACGAGGACCTGGTTTTTTGAAAAAATAAACAAAATTGACACCCCCATTGGCCCAACTAACTAAACAAAAGAAAAGACCCAAATCAATAAAGTCAGAGATGAAAAAGGAAATGTAACAACAGACACCACAGAAATTAAAAGAATAATCAGAAATTACTACAAAGTTATATGCCAGGAAACAGGGAAAGCTATCAGAAATGGATAGATTCCTGGACACATGCAACCTACCTAAATTGAACCAGGAAGACATAGAAAACCTAAACAGACCCATAACTGCGACAGAAATTCAAACAGTAATAAAGGCCCTCCCAACAAAGAAAAGCCCAGGACCAGATGGATTCATTGCTGAATTCTACCAGACATTTAAAGAAGAACTAATTTAATTTCTTCTCAAACTATTCAGAACAATTGAAAAAGATGGAATCCTCCCAAATTCTTTCTGTGAAG